GATTGAACTCACAGTCATTTTTCAAACAATAGGTTTTCAATTTTACAGAGAAGTAAACAAAAGCAGTCTTCTTATTTTTAGCCAGGAACCATGGATTTTGTCAGTTGAAATGACCATAGTAGACTAATAAAGAATGATAAACTAATACTATAAAGTTGTGTTTTTGTACAGTTGTCAGTGAAGTCCCAGAATCAGTCGACTCCGGTAGCTAGCCATGCTTGTGCTAACTAGCTAACTAATGACTCTGGTTGAAGAAGAAGTTGAAGAATGAGTGACGGGTGAATGTCATGATGTTGGTTGAAATTGGTTAGTTCATGCTTACGTAACAGATGCTTACATCTTTGTATATCAAAACAAAAATATACACAGCAAGTTACATACTAGTTTTGTTTCTTTGTTTTTTGTGGTTTTTAAAAATAGCTACATCAAAATAACAAGGATAACTAATAATGCACTGTGGAGGGGGAAGCAGAAAATCCAGTTGGTCTTATTTGAAGCCTCTACCCAAAGTTAAAATTTCAGTTTTATAAAACACAAAATGAACATACAGAAAATAATATAGCTACATTAAAAGTGATAGCAAACTAATAATAAGACCTTAGTAAAAGCTGTTTGTTAGTCTGCGTTTGGTTCCTGTCAAGAGAGAGATTTCTGTTTTCTGTCTTCTTCTGTGTCACAAAGTTTCCTTTATCAGTGAAAAGTACATCTGTTGACGTCTCATGGCTTGGCTCGTCCTTGTTTTCCTCCGGTGTCCTTGCAAAGGCCTCTTTTTGTGCCTACACTTCAGATTACATGGACTCCTCATCAACAGGATCAGTTGGGTTAGTACTGTACAAGTGATATTCTTTTAACTAATGACCTAGCTGACCGCTTTAATTAAAAATGCTCAACCTTAGATAGAGTGGCTCCCCTCAAAAATAGAATTAAAACAAGTTATAACCTTGGACAAATAAAAGCACTCTTAGCTGTAAAGGAGAGTGCATAAAGGTCGAGTGGAGGTGGAAGAATATCGGTCTTCAGGTTTACAGTGTGGCTATGAAGGAGCATCTACTTCATCTATGACACCTCCTGGGCTCCACATAATCAGTAAGATTTAATAATCTAACACAACAATCTAAACTGTAGAGCAAAGTGAAAAAGACTGAACTGAACATAGAAAGTACAGTGATTGAGGAAAGGTCTGTGTGTGCGCGCCGCCGCCTACTAAAGCCACACAAATGATGGCTTTTATTCTGGAGCTATAATGTGAGGGGAAAAAGCCCTATTGTCAGATTATGACATGTGTGCACAGTTGGCAGTTAACCTACACAGCTACTATATAGTTTTCATTATTAAATAGTGGCTTTGTGGCTTTGTTTGCAAGTGAGAAAGCAACTGATGTTCAGCAAACATTACACTTTCTAATTTACAGCGGACAAATAAAGAGCAGGGCAGACAATCGTTATGATATTGTGTATAGGAACATATTTTACTATTCAAAAGCCCAGACCGGGACCAGTAAGTGTAAAGCACCTTCAAACATGTGGACGTGTATGCACATACCATAGAAATATTATTTCCAGCAATTAGCACACATACAAAGAGCACCTCTCAATACCATGGATGCCATGAACACAGCATTTTCTTTTTCTTGGTACTTTACAAAAGAGTGAGCCTCCTGGAGCTCTTTAGAAAAGACAGACTTTCTCTCTGGCATGATAGCTCACCGCGCTGACAGGTTCTGTCATAGCTTCTGATGCCTGCCAATGACTGATAGGCTAGCAGCCTTGACAACGACACGTTGATGGATTGACACACATACAGGCAAATTAATATTGGATTCCGACATGCGTTGATGAAGTTTTTATATTGGGTAAGGTGTAATGAGAGAGACAGAACATGATGAAGTGCTGAAAACCAGTGAAATAAAAAAAAAAGTTTTTTTTATAATTGTGCTGAAAACCGGGACAGTTTTGTCGTGATTTTTTGAAAACCGGGGCATTTTAGTGTTGTGTATAGTGTTACAGATATCAGTCAGGAACTTGGGACACCCAGCTTGAAACCAGGACAATCCCGGACAGTTAGCTAATGATATGCTGCTTGGCTGCTCAGTTACTACTGTAGGTCATAAGCTACAGTTTGCAGCTAGCTTGTGTTTTTGGTTTTGGGAAGGCTAACATAAAGACGCCACACCCTTCAAATGTTTTAGATACCGAGTATAGCTAGGTATGTGTAAATCAAAAGCTTTCAAAAGTGCTTTCGCAATATCTTCACTTTTACTCTAGTCTTCTTTAAATAAAAATCTTCTTTAGATATACATGACTTTTTCAGTGTTTTGCACAGCTATGGTAGAAGAGCTGCACATGTACTAATACAGTATGTATCTATTTCACAAGATTAAAATAACACATCCACAGTGTAATACAGCACATACTCATGTATTGTTTTTTAAAAAAAAGTGTATTGTGGACACCTTTTACCACACCTGGGATGAATGTTTTTTTCTGTTTAGAGAAGGCTCATGTTTTGTTTTACTTGGATTAATGCTGAGTTATAATTCAGTTCAGGGGTTATGTGTCCCACCGGATGCAATCAAAGTGAACGGTGCTCTGCATATCTCAAACCAAGTGCTGGAAACAATCTGCGTAAAGTGCTACACTGTTTAGAGACAATATATTCAATCACACCTCGATATTCTCCTCTGAAATGCCAGTAGAAAGGTCAAAATTAAGTTTAAAATTCAACACAGCACACCTGCCACCATATAGCTTTGAGAACAATAGGAACTTGGGTTACTAAAAGCCTCTTTTCTGCTGCAGAGTTTGTTCCCACAGCTACATGACCATAAAACCACAGAGTGTAAAGTTCTCAAGATGACCTTCTGTTTGCTGTCTAATGAAATTCATGTAAAGTACAGAAATATGCAGTTTACTTAAAATGACTTTCTTGCTGGATCTTTCTTATCTCGTAAACAGTCAATCTGACAGCATGAACACACCCGGGAACAAATCAAGCTGCAGTGGCAGATAATCTCCCAGCAAATGATTTTGGGATCAGATTCATTAACAGAGGGTATTATTGCTTTTTCAGATATAACACAAACATCGGAGAACAGGCTTCAACACATTTACCGCCACTTTAATTCCAAAGAAATACAACATGTTAGATAAAAGGCCATTAGAAACCTCTGTTTGTCATTAATGATACCAATGTAACAATTACTAATGACATGAAATGTTTGACACGTTTTGTTATTCATGGAAGTGTAGCACCACAGAGGTCCTGCACCAGTCCACATGACCGGTTGGCTTATTAAGATAGGAACATGTTATGATATAATTATAGATAAGATTGTTGTATGTAGTTATTCTTTCTGAACAGTTTTAAAGACCAAAAGCGTAGTTTTTATAGTGGTGATACAATTTCATGGATAACCAGCAGTCAGCTGTATTGAACACCATCAGTTCAGCCTGTTTGCTCTGAACTTGCCATCTGACTTTCAGTGGTTTTGAGCTTCTTCTTTTTTGGTGAGTTACCAATGCCCAAAATATACTATTAATGATATTCATTGAAAATGATTATCATACTTTCAATAAGTCAACGTCCACATCATCTGGGAATCACAAGATACAACTGTAAACATTTAATGTTCACTTTATATTTACACCATTCTGTGCATTTGAAATACTGCATGACATTTCTCTCCAGAGACAACAAGGATACCCGCACAAAGGAAAAATCAAGTTATAAACAACTTTAGGCTCATATTTTAAGGCCCTTTGTACTATGATCCAGATATCTCTGGTGTGGACATAAGTGCACTGTTTCAGTTTCCACAAAGGCTGAGCTCGAGTCCTCACACAGTAACGTCTGAAATAGTTTAGCCCCCCCTCTACTCAACACAGGCTGATTTTGAAAGAAACAGAAATCAAAGAGTCAGAAAAAGGAAAGAAAATATTTCTGATTTCTTAGGTAAGAGAGCTGACACCCAAACTGAAAACAGAAAAACAGACAGTATTATATAATATTACAGTGTGAATGCACAAAGGCTGGAAAGTAGGACCTGCGAAAAACGTATTTTTCAATGTATAATGAGACAAGAAATGTTACTGTGTTAAAATGACTGAAAAAGCGCATGCAAATGCAAACCAACAAAGACCTGTCTTCAGAATCAGACATCAGATAACTGATATTTCCTGAATAATTTTGTAATGAGACTGTACCAGGTTTGTTAAAATGTAGATTCAGCTGCACTCACAGATTCCTCGACTATCCCAAATAGTTTCTATTTCTCAGTTACTAACCCAAATTGAAAATACTCATAGTACATGAAATTATATTGTCTTCATTTGTTAATTCTAACAAATTGTTTACTGTTTGTTTTTGACAGTTTCAATAATAAAAAAGATATCCTATCACCAAGTGGCATTTGTTCCCTATGACGATATATTTCTACTGTAAGCAGAGGAATGGAAAGATACTGCACTCTTTGTTGTAAACTGCAATGCATAATGCACAATACACTGAGAAAACATGGCAAAACATGTGAAATGAACTTAGTCAAACCATGAAGTTATGAACAGATGTAGCAGCATTTAAAAAATGAGAAACATCCAACTTCATCAACACATTCCAATTCTGACAATGGCATGGCAAACATAAGACAAAGGGGAAACAAAGTAGAAGAAAAAGAAATAAAAGACAAAACAAAACAAAAAACACCTGCCATCACAGCAGCAAATGTGAAGAATGAATGACAATACTGGCTCCGTTTCAACTCTTTGATGCTGCAGGAAAATATGAGTTCTACAATCAGACATTAATTCAAACTGCAGAAGTCCCTATCTGTTGTGGACTAAATAAATTATGTATATACATACAACATACTGTAGAGTGCTGGATGTAAAACAAATAACACAGAGTTTGGTTCTACTTCTGAAACACGGAAATGAAATTTTTTTGCAACCTTGGTGTAAATATCACATTAATATATCACATACTGGCATTTGTATGGAGGCTGGAGTGTGCTGTATAGGAAAATAATTTAACTTCTTCATTTATACATTTAAATTAGCAATTATACAATTATCTACTACATTTGCATTTGAATTACACAATTAAATCATTATTTATGAATAAAGTTTTAAAATGATCATTAATTACAGTAGTTAATGAATACATTTATTCAACTTGAGTTGTTTTATTTACTGATCAGGGTTCTTGTCACATTCATTTGTTTTAGGTAGTTTTTCTTCCTCAAGTTCATATGATGACAATGAAAACTGAAAGAATTCCTTATTAATACATTTTTTAAAATCATGATTTTTATTCATCAATTCTTCAATACAACAATTAATTTGAATATGAATTAATTAATTAATGATCACATTGAAATCTTTAAACCCACTGATTCACATTTGCATAATATAAATACAAAATTAAATTATACTGAAATATAATTACTTACTGAAACTGTCGTCATTTCAGTGGCACAATCCAGCTTCCACTGTCATTATGAGTCACTGTGAGCATACCCAAACGTATAGATTGTTTCACTTTAGCTAAATAAATATACACAGTGTCATAAAAAATAGAACGCTGATTCAATAAATGCCACCATTTTTGTACACTTAATTTTATACCAGCGAGTACATTTTCAGACCTGTTTCCTTGAGCAGCTGTTGGTATGAGTTGTGACACAACTGTAGCTATAAACCTTCAGGAGGCTTGTTGAGCTGCAGACTGCTTTCATTCCTCCCTTTGCCTCTTTATTCATACTAGAAAACGTAAAAAAAAATCACTTCCATCAAATATTTTTCTGGTTACAAAAAGTGATGCCAATGATGCCAAGGGCAACTTATCAATCACTGTCAAAACTATGTCAGCAAACAAGACGTAGCAACAGAAATTTGATCAGTGAAAGTCAATGCCCAAAACAGTTCAGAGAGGTTCAACTTGATGAGTGTGCAGATTATTTTTTCAGCATGAAATAATGATTCAAATAAGCTCTCCAGAAAAGCCTCCACAAGCTTTTAGGTTGTTTTTTAACAATGCAGCTGCACACTGCACCAGCAGCACACACTGCAGTAAGGCAGACAGTAACTTTGCTGTAGACATGAAGGGGAGAGCCGTCACATACTGTAAGCGTATATTGAGCTCAAGAGCAACAATTAAGGAGTTTATTAATTCATCAGTCATCCCAGGCTACCCAGTTGAAGCTGTTTATGCTCGCCAACTGTGACAGGAATCTGTCTATTATCACCATGTTAACCAATTATGGTTCTCAGATGCCCATTAAACTTTATTAAGGTCCATAAACCACAGTTTGACTCGTGCAAGTCTATTATAAATACACAGGTAAAAGTTACATTTATATACTCCTAATTAAGCAAATACATTTTGGTAGAAACGTAATGCCGCCTGAATTATGTATTTTTATCAACAAAATGAGAAACTGTGGTTTAATTAACGAAGTTAGTCACAAAATGTTTTCTGGCAACATATTTTAATTGTTTTCCCTACAATACATGCTTGTACTGTAGCGACTAAAGCATTATTAACACATTTTATGGTTATGATTAGGCACTCACAGAATTTGGTTAAGGTCAGGGAAAGATTGAGGTCTTTGTTAAATACTAAAAAAGGTAACTTAAGGCACAATTTACTTTTTTTACATTTACCCAAAACCATAATATTTCCCTAACTTCAAACTTGCAATATCAGATTTTTGGCCACTTGGGGGCAGCAGAAACAAGCTGTAAATACTGAAATATTATCACATTTTAAGTTTATAGGGCGGATTTTATTAGCAAACAGTTGCCTATTTACATATCCAGCAGATAGAAGCAATATCAGCATTTATTTCGAACCTCGACTGATGATATACCTCCAATATTTTTTTTTTCTGCTAGTCTCTTTTTAGCTTTGTTTTGTCCTCCACCAACTCCAGAGGGAAATATTTGGCTTTTCAGCTGCTAAATGTTCACCAGCTGCTCGCTTACAATGCCTGGGAAAGGAGCATGCACTGATTTAATTTTTTTTGCAGAAAACATCAGCCTGCTGCAGCTGCAAACATTGCTATGAGAGTGAGTGAGAATGAACTCAAATGAGCAAAAAAAAAAAAAAATCTCTATATTTGAAGGGACCTGCTGAGTCGGACGATAATAAGATACAGATACAGATAAGAAACACCGTTCACATACAAGTAGTCATGTTCATCAACTATAGTATAATTAATATAAAAATATTGATTAGAGCCACTTTTGTTGCCTAAACCTAACCATACACGCTTACTGTGGGATGCTAACCCTGGACACAGTTCGGTCCGAAACAAAAGCACTTTTGTATTCACTGAAAATAACATAATCAGGCGAGAATTACGCTTTCCTCAAAAAGTATTTGGCAAAACATTTCCAGGAAACAGGGTTGACAAGTAAGATAAGCTGACCACTGTAATTCATCAAAAGCAAAATATCAGTATCAGCTGTGAGTGTAAATGATCAGAAATATGATCAAATCTGACCACTGGTCATGGACGAATTATGACACAACGGGCCCCTGGGCATGGACATGTATAGGCTCCTATCCCCTCCTATATATGGGCAAAACCCGAAGACTGAAAGAGCAGATCAATGTTCAGTTGGTCGTTTTATGCCTTTTTGTGGTCAATGTGCATCCCTTTGTGTTTCGTTGTAGTCTTTTGCTGTCTGATTTCTCTTTTGTCTCTGAAGTTGTTTGGAGTCTCTTTGTGGTCCCCCGTCTTTTAGTGACATTTTGTAGGTGAAGCCCAAGGGACCAGGGGGCCTCTGTGCCCAGTCAGACCTATTCAGTAATCCAACCATGCCTCTGATCATTAAACACACTTTGCAATAAGCATTAATCAAATTCAAATTAATTAGTTCCATCAAGCAACTTCCATAAACATTGTGTTAGTAATCAGTGGCCTACATTCCTCTGATCAGACCCGCTCTTGGCCTTGAACACCCATTAATATTTAGCAATGCAAAAACTTTGGTGATGACAAGTCACACAAGTAACACAAACATATACAGTTTACACCCAAAAGGCAGATGTACTTGAATGCAACAGTTGCCATGAAAAAAAATCAGTATGCTAAATATATTCCGATGTCAAAGTTTGAAAAGTACTTTTGGGATGTTTTAGTGTTCCTCTCTGAGGCTGCTTGAGTGACAGGAACATACAGCAGCGATAGGGAACATTTCAAATTTCTTTCATCTGGACGGGGGCTCGGCGCTTCCAGAGAACGTGAGCGCTTTCCAAAGTCTTATTTCCTCTCTCAGTGCTGATCCATTTCCATCTATGTATTTTCAACCATTTGGCAGGATCCAACCGACGCAGCAGCAATGTTTTGATTATACAGTGACGACACATTATGAAGAAGTCAGTAAGCTTACAATCTTTTTTTTACAGAGGGAACACAAGAAAGCCAGAGAATGTTGAGTACTGCCATCCACCAACTAGGTTTCCCTTCTCCAGCTTTAGGTAGACTTTGTCCTCCTTTTCTAGATAGAGCAGAACTCCATTGGTGGCCGCCTCACGAGTTACATCTTTGTCACCCGCAAAGGCAGAGATGACTGGTTTCCCATTCAACATCAAGTTCACCTGGACAACAGAGATAACAATTAGCACCGGAAAAGGAAAATTACTGGCTTTGAGGATATGTTTTATTGTAGTTTGTTTATTATTTGAAACATCTGAACTTGACCTCGATTAAATAGTATTGAATTCCTTTTACATAATGACAACTTACTGTATATCAGATAGAAGGGGTTTCAGGTTGGGTCTATGTATTACAATGAAGCATTTATTCAAGAACATACAAACTACCATTGTTTTCATCAAAAGGCCAATAAGTTCATGTTAGGGGTTGTATGTAAATTATTAAAGAGGGAGGTAGTTGTGTATTATTTCTTTGTGCTGATGGGAGGGTAATTGACTGAGTTTTGAATTTTTTTCTCACCCCAAATTTATAAATGTTTTATTATTATTATTATTATTATTATTATTATTATTATTATTATTATAAACTTCATAACTTCACACTTTTTAAAACATTGTTACAATATTATGTAATAATACATACTATTGTATTATGTAATTTATACAGTAATTTATATACAGTCCCTCAGGAAGACATTTTTTCCCAACCCAATGATAAAACAAGTTTACAACTGAATTGACTGCACAGCTCTGTGAAATAAGCAAAGATTGTACCTGTATGGTTTGGCTCTGGTACACTTTAATAACGTGGAAGTTAAAACTGTAGATTCCTTTTCTTGGGGACAAAAAAACTGATTCAAATGTGAAGTAGTTTCCTATATTCACAAGAACCTATGAGAGAAGACAAAAACACATTGTAAGAAAGGTGTTTATATAGCCAGCAACGGCTTTCATTTCAATGGCTTTAAGATTAAATATATAAATATTAAATGAGCAATGCACACAGGATTCTCTACTGTGGCTATCAGGCTCGCCCCTGCTTACACACAAACTGACTGTGACACAGAATGTAATTCAACCTTTCTTTTCAATGTACCTAAAACCAACATTTAACTTTCCTACTCCACAAGAAACCAAAATGATGCCTGATGACCATTTAATGGTAACAAATTTCACTTTGGGGCAGAAACAGGATTTTTCTTCCACACTTTATACTGATAAGACTAAAAAGAATCAGCTTTCTTAATGCTGCTACTTTAAGTCACACATGCAAAATAACCCAATGAACAGAACATTGATAAATATACATTCCCTTACTTTTGCTTTCTGAAACTGATCTACCCTGAATACAGTCAGCATAGCACTTAACGCCATCTCATGAGTGTCACTAAAAGGTTCTAAGCACCCTAGTACACAAAATGAACTTCTGTGGGTCATGATAGCTGGAGGCAGCAGTACCTGCAGAGTCTCAAACGCTTGAATCCCACCTGTTAAAGACAACACTGCAGGCTCAGCCAGGACCTTTGACAAATGTGGCTTTCATAGCAACAGCATGCACATGCACCACACCAATCAGATCAGTTGCAGTGTGTTCTGATGACAGCAAAAGATCATGTTATGTAATTCAAATGAGAGGGCAGAGGATTAACTGAGTGGTATCGGTGGCCACACTGCCCACCTGTATGACTAATCAAATGCTTGTTGTTGTTTTTTTTTGTTTTTTTGCCTGGTTTGTTTGGGTGTACAACTGTGTGAAGGTGAGGGTGCACGCGCGTGTACGAGCGGTGGGGTAGCTTGAGGCAAACTGATGAATGCAAGCTCTGCAGGATGCCCCTTCTCCAACATAATCCAGCCACTTTCCAAAACCTGCCTGCGTGTGATATGTGCATTTGTGCAGGATCCACACGTCAACTGCAACTGGCCTCAAACTAAACTCCGGGGTGCCGTTGCTTAACTGCACTGACACTTCAATGTTCTGCACCACAAGTCAAAACTGAGCTGATGGACGAGGGTTTATCACAAGAAAAGAAAGGACTAAAATAGAATAGAAAACAGGTTTGACAGATAGGAAAAAGCAAAGGGAGGATGAACAGCAAAGTGCTATAATAAGCGAATTCAACCACTTTTTGACATTAGTATTGTTCATAAAAATCGTCTTAACCTGGTCGAAGTAGATTATTCTCGTTTTGTTGCTCATCTCCGACGGTTCATGGTTGTTGCTCCGGACTGCAGAGAAAGCCACCTTGGAGTTGGCGGCGCGCACGGAGATGCCGAGCGGAGAGGACGAAGCCTTCCAGTCCGCGGTCGGGTTAGAGTCGCAGACCACGAGGCATTTTCCCTCCAGGACAATAGGCTCCGTGTCATTCTGAGCTCTCGCCACCTCAGAGATCACAGTCCAGCTGAGCATCAGTATGAGGGAGTTCACCATGGCTCTCACTGTGACAGCTGTGGCAGCGCCGATTCGAAGAGAGACCGTCTCCTGCACCACACAAGTTTCCGAGTCCCTCCACTGGTCTCCCCCGCCGCAGACGCGTCTGACGCTGTAATATTCTCTTATTGGATCCAGAAATGTTCCATATCCGAGTAAGACAAAAAACAAAAAAGAACAATCCGTGTTAAGTCTAAACCTTCTCTTGCAAACAAAAGGGTAACGCAGAGATCACCGATTGTTGTCTATGCGTCTCATTTTCAGGTAGACTTTATTTAAAGCTCGTGGATGAGGCAAAAGTAGACCATATGGAATGTTTTAGAGAAGACTGTTCCAGTCTGAGAGGCGAATCTGTCGATAAATCGTCCATAGCCCTCACTCCCACTCCGAATAACGCGTCTGACAACAGCTGTTCCCCGCAGTGATGTGCTGCGTGTGTGCGCGCCCAGCCATCCACTTTACGCACGCACATGTGGTGGAAGTTATAATTAACTGTGGCTGCGTAATTTGCCAAAAGCTTATATTTCCATAATTCTTTATTAAATAGCTTCCAACTTAAATATGCATTCATTATTTGGCTGTGTTAATGATACTGAAAAGATACACTGGATATAAAGTTCTAACTGTCCTTAGCTCGGATCTGGGAACACACACATAAGATAATTCTCTCCAAACACATTTCTGGTGATTGCAGTCTTTAAGGACTGTAATGTAGAAGCATAGAACTGAAAAATGCCCTCCAGCAAGAGTTTTACTGTTTTTCTTGTTGCTGCCAGAGCTCCCTGTCCACTCTGGCTGTAGGTTTCACTCTGATGCAGTGACTCATCATAATCTCATTGCACAGGTGGGCTGAAAATCTTTCAGGCTTCCACAAAAGTCAGTGATGGGACCTTTAGTCTTCATATGGTTGTCTTGGTGACATGTCCATGAATTCAGGGCTGTCTTCACTGCAGCAGCTGTCTGTTTGTCTCACTGAAATTGGATGGCAAAAACTTTTTCTTAAAAAGACATTGACTTCAAATTCATTAATCTCCCCTATTATTTCCCTGAAATCTAATGTGGCAAATGTTATTGCTAATGGGATTTTAGGTTTAATGCATTTATCACTCAGCCTCCACCGCTGTATGATGCACTTGTCTGTCACCTTGTGCTGCATTAAATCAACAAGTCATCCAAAGTGTCCTGTGAGAATATTGACAAGAGATTAGAGATGTGAACACATCACCTCTGTCCTTGTGTCACTACAGGCTCCCCACAAAGCAGCAGATCAATTTTGATGTCCTTCCTCTGACTTACAAAGTGCTACATGAGCTGGCATCCACAGTTTTTAACCCACAGGAGCCCACTGTTGCTTAAAAATCAGCAAGCTAGATAGACAGATTGTACTACCAAGTTAAAAATAAAGTGTTATAAAGTAGTTGTAAAGTAGTTTGTGTGTCTTACAGGTCTGTGAATCAGGGGCGGATCTAGAAAAATATTCATGGGGCATCGAGACTTTAAGGGGTGGCAGAATGATGTGCTGGTTTAATGGCATTTCCAAAAACAGTATTTTTTTGGGGGCCATAACAGATCATTAAAGTATATGTGTTGATTTGAATTTTTTTACACGTTATTTTAAAAATTAATCTAAATGAATGTGTTCAATTTTACAGCATTTGACACAAAGCCGCCACCCCTCTAGATCCGCCCCTGCCATGAATTCCCAATAATGTCCTAGTCCTAAAAGAGGCAGATGTTTAATTAGCACCCCTCCAACTAATTAATTCAAATTGATTGCAAAGTTATATATTTTTAGTCAGAGCTCAGCAGGTCAGTTAAACATGCAAATGTGTCAAAATTGTCCTTTGCTGCATGTTGTCCCCTCTCTCTCTCTCCCCCCTCTTCCCCCTCTATCTTCACATGTCCTATCAAATAAAGGTATAAAAAGCCCCCAAAATAATAATAACAGTTCCTAAATGTGTTCAAAACTCACAAAGACATCCAGCTTGAATGTTAATTCTCAACATTGCTTGACAAAAAACAAGTTTAAATACAAATCTTAACCCAAGGTCCACTTACTATATTTCTCTACAGAACGTCTCAGTTGCATCTCATGACCTTCATCTGATTGAATTTGCTCAGCTGTTGTGGACAGTACAGTATTTATAAATTCTTCATTCATAAATAAAAGGCGTTATAATTGTGGACAAACACTTAATAATGACCTTTTATCTGCTTACAGCTACATTATAGTGTGTTGCGAGCTATTTATTAGAGGATTTAAAGTATTTGAAGGTTTATTTGTCACATAAAGCAATATGTGTAAACAGGGGTGTCGGACTGGGGGGACAAGGGGGAATGCAGAATACAGAGATGTGGGGAGGGGCCCCTATGTACAGGGTCCAGAATAAAACTCACCAAAGTATACAAATTCAAGATAAAAAAAATACAAATATATGTTAAAATGTTGCAATTTTAGACTCCACAACAAAATTTGGTACATTTTCTATTTCAAATATGCAATATGCAAAGGTGTTTACATATCACTTATAAATGCTAAATGGGGGTTAAAATAAAGTAGATAGATAGATAGATAGATAGATAGACAGACCTCAGAAACTTTGTTTTAATTATTGGCTTTGTAAAGTGTGCTTTGTGCTATTAAACTTAAATAAGCCTCAATCCTGTAAACCACATTTGGTGTCGGGTATTCATTTGCTTTCTCATTAAATCCATGCGTATGAATGAAGCCTTTTGATCTTTGTGGCTGAACAACAACAAATCATTAGGGTTACAATGTTGAAAGTGATAAAATGGTCGAATTTTAAACAGCCAACAACCAAATGGATCTGAACCCTGACACAATCAGCCTGTGCCAGTACACGGTGTGGTGAAAAGTGTTTCACATATAAATGTTTTAAAACAGAACATATTGAGAGCATGTAGTCAAGTGCAGCTTGTCGTAAACACATTTCAGGTGCATGAAAAAATTGGATACCAGTAAAATTAGTGCCGTTTATATGTCTACAGAGAGAACACAAAGTTGCCACAACATATATCTATTTATTGTATATCTAATACATCAGTTTAGAATCTAATAAATGAATGATTTATTTGCTACTTGGATTGCATATTTTTAGACCCTTGAATGCAAATGTGCAAATCTGACTTCAATCGTCAGAGACTGTGTTGTTTTGGGCATCATTCCATCTGTAAATGGAAGACAATCCCAGTATATCACAACCACAACCTGAATAGCTGCCATTTTGTGAGATTTGTGTCATCACCCAGCTCTGACAAATGGTTTAGTGCCTAATGTTGTGCATGTCAATATGTTTCCATGGTGATAGAGTTTTCAGGGCTGAGAGGTGATGGCTTGCAATGTGCCAAGAAACCCCTTTCCTTGGAAATTCTACAGGGAAAAAATGTTTTCCAACTTTTATTTAAAGAGGAATGCCTGTTTACTGACCCAAGGCCTTGTTACAGAGAAAACTTAAAACCCTGACCTAAAGTTGTTATTATTATTTATTAAAAATAATCCTAGGAGCTTCAGGTTACATTAGCCATGCAGATTAAAAACATGATCCACAAATCCACCTGCTTGTAAAGAGAGCAATGTTGAGAATTAAAGTTCCTAAACGGTCAATATGTACCACAAACAGAAACAAAGGATCAACATATTGTGCTAGTATTTAAAAGATCAGTGATCATGTGACAACAGGGTGCCTGGATCAAGTGGGAACAGGGCGGAATGTCACCTGGCAGGACATCTGGAAATCGATCAAGTTCTTGATTCAGGGAGTCTACCATCCAACTTGTTCACATGGGACAAAGAAGAAGCAGCTGCATGTTCCCCTGTGTTCCAAGAGAGGGACACTGGAACACATCCTGAGCAGCTGCTCCAAGGCACTGAGCAAGGGGCACCATCGCTGGAGACACAACCAGGCCCTTAAGTCCATTGTGGAGGCAATCCGCAAGTGGGTCAGCGTCAAACGATGCATCAAGGAAGGAGAACAAGAACTTATGGTTTGCTTTCCACTACACAGGCTACTACCACAGACTGGGCAATTACAGTTGACCTGGAGAGGCAACTGACGATTCCAGCACACATCATCCAGTCCTCATTGAGACCAGACATCATCTGGGTCTCAGAGGCCACAAGACAGCTTATCTTGTCCGAGCTAACTGTGCTAATATCTGTAACACACTAGATTGTCAAAACTGTTCTGGGTTTTCACCACAATTAAAAAAAAGAATGATATTATTATACTTGTTTTCAGCGCTTATATAAATTTATCATGTTCTCTCCCACTACCTACAATAAAACCATGAACAATTCATGACGTGTCTGAATTCATACATACACATACTGAATTGTATGTGTGTGTCAATTGCTGTCAAGGCTGTCACTAGCATATGAGTGGTTGTTGTTGTACACAGCAACAAAAATACTGCATTCATTGTGTCCATTCTGTTGAAAGGTGTGCTCATTCGGTGTGCTGAAATAATTGTCCCCCTTGTGTGCATGGTTCACTTTTAAGGGTCCCAGTTTGGAGGTTTAAAACTGTGTGAAAATGTGTCACCCTACTTTACTGGGGGTCATGTGCTAGATTTAGTCTTGGTCGGTTGCAGGGACTACCTGGAGTCTCTACTGGTCGCTTGCCAACCTTACACAATCTTAGAAGAAAAGCTAATAAGCGTATTTCTCAAAATGTTGAACTATTCCTTTAAGTAAAAATTGTAAATAAGACTGAGAGAGACTACACAGGGATGCTGCTACTTTTACTTAAGTAAAATATCTGAGTACTATATTCCACCACTATACAAATCCAATCTGTCATGACGTGTGTTATGTGTCAAAAGTTCCCATTTTCAAACAGAAACAAATTATCCCACAGACTCCCATTAGCTCAGAATGTCTTACAGGGATCCATATTGGAAATGTGTGATTTATTCAGTGGCATACAGCTATCTGTGCAGCACAAAATTATACTGGCAAGAATAAAGCCCATGATCACTGTCAAAATCTGTCATTTACTTTCTCACTGGGTTCACTCGTAAATTAATAGAATATAAATGCTTGCTCAGTTTTTTCATTTTTATGTAACTTGTTATTTTGATGGCCAATAGATCAAAAAGAAACAAACCTTCAAAAAAGCACTAACATATCTTATCTAAAATAACTGTTCTCTCCTCTCCCAACCTGCCAGCCCTCATTGACACTGCCTCCACTCGCAGAGCACTGACCTTAGCACACAACCACTGCCACCCCCTCAACCCATGTTTCACCCTCCTTCCTTCAAGTCGCAGACACAAAAAACAATCTGCAAAAAAACACGCTTTGGGAGGAGTTTGCGCCCTCAGCTATAACTGCTTTAAATAGCTTGGGCACACTGTAATAGACTTGTGTTGTTGTATTGTTCTTGTTTGTATATACCTTGTTTTAAATGTTATTTTTGTGTACAGACTGTAGAAACAACTTGCCCTCTGCAGAGGGCAATGAAGAATTCATCTGAATGTGGATTATTTTAGGGTCTAAATGCAGTGCAAAATCTCTCATTTTAGATAATATTGAGCAGTCTTCTGTTTTTTAGGAGGACCTTGTTGTCCTCAGTGGTAGTGACAGCTGCTCCTTGGGGTCCTCGGGCTGAAAAGTACTTTACCATGGAACACACATAACATTATCTCAAGAACTCATGTGTCGCAGTCTGAGTTGAAGTATAGTAATTCAATGATTAGAAAACCAGTTAAAGCAAAAATCGTTTCATAAAAATACTAAAACAGCTTATCAGATAGCAAACACATCACATTAATGTTTTACCTGCCCCCCTTTAGCAATTAAATTTTTTTAAACAAATGCAGTCTATAGGGGACTCATCATCAATCATTTTATCAATTGAAAGGGACAAATAAAAAGAGAGGGAAAAAAATTCAGACCCATCACTGGGTCTTGATAAAAAGAGCAAGTCTCTAAGGAATTTAATTAGTGGTCAAAAGGAGAGTATGTACTCTGCATATAACACACTGATGATGTCCGACAGCCCTGTCGCACATAATGAGCTGCTTTGGTAATCTTCAAAAAGCCACAGTCTCATTTTTACGAAGTCATTGTATATACTTTTACACTAATTAAACATAAATCCAAAGTAGCGCATGTGCCACTTTTCAAAGCAGTGAAATAGGCAATGGGCCAGAGGCAATCGGAGATACGAGCTGTCAGTCACCAGCCGAGGCAGCCGCTATCCTTCACAGGGATATTTCAACATTTTGTCTGAGAGATTTCCTGTGTTTCAATAAACACTTTTGTATATTTGTCTTGATTTCTTGGCCTCAGAGGGGCAGCGCAACAAACTGTGAACACAACATTGACATATCATCACCACTTGGCAAACATGTTAGCAAACAGTTTAGTTTATTTAAATAGACAACAGATACACATAAACATTAACTTTGATTTGGAGTTGCAGGCAATCTGGTGAATATAAGTCCAATATTTACTCCCCTTTAGTTAAAAAAAAACCTAACTTTGTTGTTGAAACAGGGTTGATGACAGCAGTGAGACTGAACCAAAACAGTAAAGTTAAAACAGAAACAATGAGCTGAAAGGTGCTAAAACCCTCGATAGAGCTAAGATAAACTGCAGTGTCTGGAGGTAATTCTCTGTGGGTTCAGCACTACAAGCAACATCTTTTGCATTACAGTAATCTTTAAATTTATTATTAATATGTTTGGCTACGGCTTTGTAGCAGGCCACAGTCTGCAGAGTTGAGACGTTGCTTTTATAGGAGAAGGGGTTGTTTGGAGACGAAAGCTGCCTTCAGATCAGCCAATAGTGAAATTCAACTGCACTTGCCAGGTTTCAACCAGTAGAGGGAGATTGATATGCATATTTCTAGCACTAGATGAAGAATTCAGATACTTTGCTCTAAAATGTCAAGATTTCAATCGATCAACAACATTATCAAATACCTATAAATTAGTTTTCAGTTGAAAAAAGAGGTTTAGGGATTTAGGCAGGTGCATGTAGTTTTTTAAATGTGAATTTATTTTATTCACTCAGCTGCCAATTAAGCAGACAGTATACTCGGAATGAACTTGCCAAACTAGAAATGCAGAAATGCACATGGCACCATGTGTGCCTGCGCCTTCTTTTGAATTTGATTTATCCAATGTCGCTCTGCAATCACTTTGTAAAACATATTTACCAAACTTTGCTCTCACAATAGGAATAATAATAATGAGTAATAACACCTTAACACCAGCAGCTTCCTGCTCCAGCTATTTGTTAATTAATTTCCCCCACTGATTTCTTGTTCAAAGACTAGGAATTTACACCACTGATGTTGCAAATACATCTTAATTTTAATAATAATAATATCCTGACACTGAGATAAACTTGTACATGGAGAGAAAGTAAAATTAAATGTCTTACCTTTTTTTACACACAGCTCTAACAACCCAGTAATGACCTCCAAAACTAAAAGTGAAAAGTAGTGTACAATGGAGCCAATACAAACTAAGGCAATACTGACAAAGTATTTGAAAACTGATAGCAAATAGCAATTCGGATTGTGGCATATAACAAGGGGACAATAAAGGCATAACATTTATATTATACATGTCTTTGTCTCTTTAAAAGTGAACCTAATTCCAATGTAAGAAAGAAGAAGTGACTTTTGGAGTTGTTCTTGTGTACATGCTTAAAGTCATGTCACTCATCTCTCTTTATTTTCAAAAGCGGTACAAAGACACTACATCAAGAAAAAAAAACCTTAATGATTAATCCAGGGTCGATTTTGACAAATTGGAAATGTAAAAAATGCTAATATGATAAGACGGTGTGAAGGAAACATTTAATGAAATAGTTTTGCGTGTTTCCTGCTAATGAATCACCAGTTTCTACAGATGCAAAGTTTTAATTAAAATCAGTGGTTTCTTCTTTTTCAAGAAAATGTGCAACTTTTCCTGCTCAGTGTGAGGTCGGGTTCATTATACCACCATGGTTCACAGTTACAGCTACAAAGTGTTTTTGTTGTCAACTGATTAAAATGTCAGACACACACAACCTGTATAACACATGCATCAGTTCTAAACCGTGTTAAGAATACCTTTCAACCTTTTGATAGGGAATTTTGTGCTTCTCATCATGTCATTGCCACAGTGCAGATGTGGTCCTTAATCAGAGGCGGCCTTGGAGCTCCTCCTGGAGAGCTGGGATACAAAATGTCCCCGTCCGCAGCACGATTGCATGTTCAAAATAATCATGCACCCAAAGTAAACCAGCCTCAGCTGGCCTCTGAAGTGCAGTCTATTCTGTTCCTCTGCCAGCACAGAGCTGTGGGTATTAGCGGCACACTTCAGCATCCGAGTGTGTCTTACAACCGAGGGCTTTCAAATCCTTCATTACTGATTCGTCTCAAAACAAATAGTCAGTAAACACGAAGTCAACACAAATCAAAACAACCTTTGATGTGAAATAATGTGATAGATCAGTTTTATATTCACAAAATTGATTTTCACTGGCATTGTCATCCTGTCATCCAGATGCATTAGCATCACACTTCATACTGTAAGTCTATACCATGAATCAAATTCAGTGCCCATTATAAAAAAAAACATCTGTACAACAACACAGGAGAAAAAATACAAACAAATCCATGCAACATTTTATATTTCAAAGCATCCTAATATTTTTGTATCTTCATCTTTCTGAACTGTGACTAATGAATAATCACTGCTGTCTCAGTGGTAAGCAATATGTACTCTGTAGAGTATAATTCATATCATTTCAGCACGGGCCCTCTTGAACTCGTGAATGAACTGACAAATCAACCCAAAGAGCTCCTGAGAGTCTTGATCCGCTGGTTCTCCGAATTTAACCTTGACAAGAGAAAAACTGGATTAGTTGTTTGGAAGTTAAAGGTGCACTATGCGATCCTGCATGACGTCTCGTCCCTGTCTGATTGTCGTTCAAAAGTAAATAAAAACAAAACAGAGCAAAGGCTCGCCCCCTCCCCCCCAAAAATCGTTTCGTAAACTGTCATGAACGCGCATGAAAATCGAGAAGTGGAGTTGTGCTAACGTCGCTAAGATGGCTGAGCTAACTCCAACTGTTCAGTGAGTACATTTTATAAATTCTAAGCTTTATACAATGTGTTTACGATATGAGGTTATTAGTATACAGCTGATATATGAAAAATTCTTGTATGAGCTTATGCAAAAGATACAGAAGCCAAGACGGCCATGGATTTTTTAAATTTTTATGCACTGTTATCTCGTGATAACGACTTATTAATTCCGTTATATCGACATAACCAACAAACGTTTTGTCGTGAATAACGAATTAATTAATAATGTGTTTCGCTTGACTTCAACTAATGCGCTGCTACGGACGGCCCATCCCGTCACTTACCGCTACCAGCTACGGCCAGCATGCTACGGAAGCCGTTCGTGGGTAGCGTATTAGATTGAAAGTCAAGCTAGGAACTACAAAACGATTACATTTGAAATGGCTTACGAAAGTGTCATAATTTCTTGTTTCGCTCCTCATACACTGTCGAGCTGCAAGTCGGGAAAGCAGTACACTACTTCAATCCAACCCTGCTCTCCTGCCCCCCCCAGTTAAATGTGCACACTAATCCCCACACCCCTTCCCCCTCTCCCAACCTATCCTGTCCCGGTGATTGGCTGGAATGTGGGTTTGGTTGTATTTTGGTGCACAGCCTGCGCCCCTAGTGTTTGTTTGACCATTTACTGAGCCCTGGGGCGCCCCGAGGAGCGCGGGTTTTTTCACAGTGTATCAGGGGGCAGGTGCAGCTAGCCGATCAAGGAGAGATGCCATACGATTTGAGACAAAAATGCAAATCGCGCTGAATGGAGCGCGGAGGCTACGCATAGTGCACCTTTAAAAACTGTAGTCTGACAGAAATGACTGACTTGCTGCTACCTATTTGAGCAAAGATATATTTAACAACTAACAACTGCGACCACTTTCATTAGTGAATGGTGCCTGGCTTGTGCATATTCATCTTAACAATAGTCTTTTGATATAATTCACTCATATACTTCCTCAGCATGCAACCCATTCCTTGAGTGCACTTATACAACGAGGTAGCTATGCACTGCTGAATTAATATTTGTACCTAGGTGGTTAAGGGTCACTGGCTTAAAAATGTTCATAATTCAAGTCAAACTTCATCACAAAGGGTCACAGTGGCTAATGTGTTCTAATTAACTGTTTGCATGCACAGGTTTAAATTCAGGCTGCAGCTATGTGCCGTCACTCTCTCATCATTTTCTTTACACTTTATTATGTTTAAGATTAGATTTTCAAATGCCATTAGGATCTATACTTCCTTATTCCGTTTATATGTTTACTGGAATAAATAAATCTTACAGAAGACACACAGGATGAGCTCATTAATAATATTAAACAGCCTTCGGCACAGTTGGACTTCATTTTACTTTGGCTGAGAGTCATTTTACTATAGAGAGATTCATTACAGACATTTTAAAGGACTAGTTTGACATCTTGGGATATATGCTTATTTACTACTCTCACATGTGTTTGGTAAATATGCAGCTGGAGCCAGCAGCTGGTGAGCTTAGCCAGCGGAGACTTCAGGAAGTCACTGCCAAGAAATAGGCCAGCACATGACTCCATCACGGTTGATGAGCTTTAAAGGTGCTGGTAGAAAGATTTTGTTACCCTTGGACAGATTGGGGTCTGTCTCACCCCTTTTCTGGTCTTTATGCTAAGCTAACCTGAATACAGATGTGATATAGAGTGGTATGAATCTTATCATCTAACTCACAGAAAGTAATTCCTTTATAATTAAATATTCACCGCCACAACAGATTTGTATGTTTTGGATAGACTGAGGTTTTCTGGTGGCAGAAATAATGTCATTGGTGCATGGCGGAGTCAAACAACTACAGTTTCAAGGTGCATAAGCCTCAAAGCCACATATACCTCTGCATGATTAAATTTAAACTCAATAAAAAGCGAGCCTGACAAATCACTTATTTAACATCACTCAATTGGCCACAGTTAGCTTGGTAACAGCAAGGTGGTCCTTTTTATTACTGGGGCTGACGTGAAGGCAGAGCACCGAGGTTGACCTTGCTTGTTTATTTGACAGTTCATTTAAAGGCCAGTTACATGGCAACACCAATGCACATGCCCAAAAAAGTCACAGGATTTATTTCCATCGTGGTCTCTATTGTAGTTAGTTAGTTAGTTAGATAGATAGATAGATAGAATAGATAGATAGATAGATAGATAGATAGATAGTAGATAGATAGATAGATAGATAGATAGATAGATATTCCTTGTTGTTCCTTCCTAGTTAAATGTAGAGGGTAGCATGTTCTTGCACGTTCTTGGAGTGGAGTATGGCATTAGTGGCACATACAGAACAAATTCATGTCAGGCAATAACAGGCATTATAATTCATATCTTACAGTATTAAAAGTTTAAAAGCAAAATGATTAAATTAAACTAACAAATAATGAAACAGGTTTTTAGATATTATTTAAAAGAGACTTTAATTAATCACTCAGCCAGTCTATAAATAATTACACTGACAGTGTCACACCTATATTGTCTGTGAACAGTCGGTAACTGCTTCCAAAAGCTCACTATATAATTGCTGACAGTGAAAATGTTTGAATTACCATGTCTTCTGACATTTCTAAAAGGTTTACACAGGTGTATGGCACCTGTTTTCAAAAAGTCCCCGATAGCAGGAGGGGGATGTGAAGTGATTATTAACACCTGTTCCCTCTATAATATATAACACTCTCACATCAGATGTGCAAATCCTGTTATTTGCATACTTTCCATGCCTCATTGTTGTCTTTGCATGTTAAATATTTGCATGCATTTTTTACAAACACATGCTGCGCGAAATGAATCAATGTAATTCCACTTTAACAAGTGAGGATGAGAAGGATAATGAAATTGACTGCTGGTTTCTTTGGCTGCATGTGTATCATAGCATAGTGGGAAATGCTAAGCTACAAAATTCAGAGTTTCTTCATCTCCACACCGGAGATTAACACTCTAGCAAAACACAATTGCAATAATATAAAAATATGTTGCTAAAATTCCTACATACTGGTCCTTTAAATCTGCTTTAAAAACAATTTATTATATTTCCATATAGATGCTAAACAGGAAGGGTTAAAATGAAGCAAAGCCAAACGTATCTGGTGTTAACTTTTATAGATACAAATGAAGTTACAAGACTAGATACTGAAATGTTCAACACAAGCATATTGTGTCATCTTTAATCTGCAGGGTTGAGCTATTTGCTTGAAGAAGGAAGATTATAAGCACCTTATCTGCAGTGGCTGAGCTGGAATCGATTTTGTTCTATCCAGTCTTACGGACATGGTGTATTAAAGATATGTATTATGTGAAGAGAAACTGGTAATGTGACATAGTTGTCAGCTTTTAGTGGTATGACAAGGCATACAACATAAGAGACTCTTTTGGAAAAATCTATCAAATTCTGAGAAATTAGAGAGGATATGTTACAGCAAAGCACGTTACATAAAATGTCTCCTTCTATTTGATACTTTTTTTAAAAACCATGCCTCCAGAGTAACAAGTACAAAAAAAGACCTTTCAAAAATCAGCCCTCCAAAAATTTCATGAGCTCCTTCTATGTTTAATAAATCTGCATGTTGGCTATTCAAGGGCATCATTATAAATTCTCCTCCCTGTGACAAGATGTGAGTAAATGTGACGCCTTTTCCCCAACCTGCTGCTCCCTTGCACAACACCACAGTCAGTCTCTATCATTTTCTCCTACTCCTGAAGGGGTTTATTGTATATGCAGGAGGTTTCACACAGACAGTATTAGAAGGGGGTCTCCATGCAGTGAATTCAGAGGAGGAGGAGGAGGAGGGGACACAGGTGGAGCTGGAGACTAAGGATTGGGCTGTGTCCATCTTCAAAGGCCACTGGTCTGATTTTTGACTTAATTAGGAGTGATGCTCGATGGCGCTGAAGAAGACACGGAATGGATTGATAGGGATGCAACATTTAAGGAAGTACATTTCAAACTTATTTAATAAAAAAATCTGAAATATATCTATATGTATAATATATATAAAATATCAAAGTTCCGCTGGTCCTACTTTGATTTAAATATGCAGGGATGATTCCTGGTGATTAAAAACAACTCCTGCCCTGAAGGGGACACTACAGTTAAAGGTCAAATTGTTAAACTTTAAAAGGCCACAGCCACCACACCACCAGGCTGTTTTCAATAATACTTGAAGGAGTGATCTATGTTAAGAATAAGGAATAAGATTCACTGTAACCAAATAGTTAGACATTTTGGGACATACACTTAGATTAGAGAGGCTGCCCTCCCTAAGAAGAATGTCTGTTTAAAAGCTGTTTTCATATGTACAGTATGATTATTCATAAACCAACCCAAATTGGGGGGCAATGTGTTGGTTTCAAATGCAGTTGTTGTACGAAAAAAAAACTATACTAAAAAATATCTGTGGGCAAAGATGCCCCCAGGAGTCATTTTGATTTTTGATAGCTACAAATTGCATAATTTACATAACAAATATTATCTGATTGTTTGTGGAAAAGGATCTTTTTTTTAATGTTAATTCAAACAGGCTTCTTTAATTAGGGATAGATTTAAAGTAAACAAAAAATACTTTAGTTCTGTTTTAAAAAGAGGTGTAAAAACAAATACTCAATAATAGTTTATTCTAGGGCTGCACAATATGGTAAAAACATCGTATTGCATAATTCTGATATTGCGATATGATTCACGATTGTGAAGTGGAATTTGAACTTTAAACAAACTATTAAAATCATGATGATGTGAATTTTTGGGGATCTGTATGAAACAAACATGTTATTTTATTATCTGGAGAACAAGAGTTGTAGAACAGTGTATGTCTGCAGCACTACAGTACTTCATTATAATGCTTTAATGTTTTGTCACACATTATATCTTTATCAAAGTCATTGCAGCTCTTGCGATTTGAATATTGCACTTGGCCATATTGTAATATCAATAATGTTTTGATCAATTGTGCAGCCCTAGTTTATTCTTCACTTATCTTGTGTTTTGCAGTTAGATTTAACTGTAAACTAACAAACATGCTAGTAGCATTATATCTATAGCTATATAGTATTGAATGTAGGAAACACATAGACATCAGCTTTACTAGCATTTGCTGGAACAGTTTGAGTTACATGTGGGTGGGCATCTTCTCCCATATTACTCGTCTTTGCTGTCTTGCTAATAGTCAGATGAGAAAACAGACACCACTCTACACATAATACAAAGCTACAGCCAACAGCCACTTTGAACTTCTATAGCTCAGAAATGAACACAGTTTATCTTGTTTGTTTCCTCTGTACAAAACTCAAAGAGTAGAAAAAAAAGTTATTGATTTACAGGGGAATTTGTTTCCTGGGGAGACTCATGAAAGTCACACAGGCTAGCTATTTCCCCTTGTTTCCAGTCTAAGCTAAGCTGGCCAGCTACTGGCTGTAACTTCATATTTAATGTATAGACATTAGAGTCAATTTTCTCCTTTCTCATCTCACCCTCTGCAAGAAAGCAAGTATTTAACAGTACCTCAGCCCTGGTTGATTTCTCTTGCAGTCAAAAAGAGAGATTCTGAAGGATATCCAGAATTTTTTCTGTGCACTCGCTTTATAGCACAGTGACTGTGTACAGTAACCCCCCTCGTGTGAAAGTTGTGTAAAAAGTTTGCAGTGCACAGGAATCTAATTGTGGATCTAATATAACACAATTCCCTACCAGGCCTAAAGCTCCCAGCTTGTGCTATAATATCTCTTTGCTCAAACACAGCAGGACGGGTAAGTGGACTCTCTATGATGATGGATTGTCCATAAAGATATGGGAAAGGTGAGAAAATAGGCCCTACTTTCGTATTGATTGTTTTTGGTGGGGACTCTATGAAAAAGAAAGACATAGCACCTGTTAAGATGTCAAAAGTAGTCTTGAGCTCTATAAACCTAATCTAACCAGGTTAGTGAGCAAAAAAAAATGTCCCCCTTTAAAGACAATGTGATAAAAGAATACACAAGGACCAGTGGCTCCACTAAATCTGATGATATGTGTGACAGAGGAATTTTCTTTATGAGAGGCAAAAGCTTAAAGGAAAGCACAGCTCTCAGACAAACTCGTGAAAGAATATCATCATTTCTGATCTCAGAGAGTTTGAGTCCAGAACTGAAATCATAAATAGTGGACGTATGAATGAATCCATTGTAACATTTAAATACTAGATTTAAAATGAGAAGTCTCTAAATGCAAAAGATGACTTCAAATACAGTATGAACTTTTCTTCCACAAAACCAATCAACCAAAGAACTTTGTGGTATGTGTCCTCGCGGGCTTGTATATTGTTTCTTTAAAAAAAAAAACACACATCAGAAACCTACCGGAGGTGCTCTTCCAGCTTCTCATTTTTAATCTTTTCTAGACCATTCATCGATATGACATCACACATTAAGGGTCAAAATGAACTTGTCTCTCGCAGTCTCTGGCTAAAGGCGACAGCAACAATTGCTCACTAATCCTGAAGAAAAAGGAGTCTAGCATTTTTCAAAGCTGCAAATCAGTGGTGCTTGCTGTTAAATGATGTGGAGGCGACGGCTATACACTGTATATCAGGTGCATTATGTCCTTGTGTAAGCCCTGTGTAGGACACCTAGTGAAAAAGAAGTAACCTTGGGGACTGCTGAAATATATGTACTTCCCTAGTGGGTCGGGGAGATACAATGACAAATAATTGAAGAGGGCCATCTATACGCTACTGGAACGGAGGACAATCCATCTCTGAGGCTGTACAAAAGAGATATTGAAATAATAACTCAAGGATTACCAGTATGACAGAGTAGAGTTTCTTCATCTCCTCACACATCTTCGTCAGTGCCGAGAGATCCGTTTTGTATTTTTCAATTGCCATCTGGGGTATAGAGAGAAAAGCACAGGGAACTCCTGGTGAGTTTGTTCAATCATTTAGTCCATCTTTGCTCAAACTTTACTGTTATCTCTTTGGGGTTAAACTCTGCATGGCCTACATTCACAACTGGGATGGAAACCAAATATATACTTTGTGGTCTTCTAAAGGTTTAGAATACCTTCTGCAATTTATCTGTGAACTGGATGCAGCTGCATGCAGGTAAATGCTGTACATTTTATTTATTTATGAAGGAAGACATAGAAATGTTTGGTCACTGACAGTTGAATATGTGTTCCCTGGAAAAGGTTTCAATATGAGTTTTAACATATGTTGTATGTTTAAGCTGCTTTGTCATGGTTTGTCATTACTAATTTAAAAGAATAATTTGCCATTTTGGGAATCTGTAAATTAATCTAGAGCCTTGATCTTCCTTAGATTTCCATGCAATTCCACCAATGAACTGTTGGTAGCAGTTAGGGGTGTGAAGATTTGAACATTAGGGGGGAAGCATATCACTTAGCCCAATTGCATGAAGCAAAGAGATAATAGATAAAATAAAGTCAGATTGCAGTATTTTTGAATTTTATTTTATATTTTATAAAGATCTGAAAAGCTCTCTTAGCCATTTTGCAAGCACTTTAGAGACAGTCCCTAACTTTAGCTCCTTAGTTTTCCATCTACTGTCCAGTCACCAAAGTACCAGACTTCAATATGAGTTCATGAGGAAAAAATAACAGCTGTGCAACATCAGTCAACTTTCCTCCGTCTGCCCGACAGATCTCCTGAAAACTGATGAAACATTACTCAGGATGAAACTCACTGAATGTCTGGGTATCAAACTTTAAAACAGTTCAGGGCTTTAAGCCAATGGCCTGTTTGTAGACATTTTGGCAAATCTGCATCATGAAAAGTCATGCTGCTTTTGTTAATACCAGTTTCTGTTTGCACAAAACAAACAAAAAACACCTGGATTACTTGATACAAAAGAAAAATCTGATGAATATGAGCCATGATCTTAAGTCATAGAAAAAGGAGCTCCTCACTATAATCTTTAAACAGAATTAAGTGAATCCTCAATGGACATCAGAGCTACAGTCACCACTGTTAAGAGTGTGGTAACAGCATGTAGAGGAGAGGCTGAAAAATATTACTGCAAAAATTTGGTTGCTCCTAGTATCTGTTCAGAGCATATTGCCTGTGCATAACCAAATAATGCATTTGTATTCATTTACATCCATAGTGGCTGTGATGCTGCAAAACAGGCAGAAATGTGCCAATAAAATAAGACAAAAAGAAGACCACTAGCTGATAAAGCAAAAGAAGATCGTAAACAATTAATTTATTCAATACAGTGTTTGTTTACAAGTGGACACATTGTATCAATAAATAATGCCTAAATAAATAATAAAAACAGATTTACTACTTCACCTTCAGTTCTCTCTCGAAGTTTGGCTGTTGAACTCCTGCATTTCTCTTCTTGGACATTTTCCTGTACTGAATGACTTTCTGCAGTTCATTCTTCAGGACTGAAGCGACACACACACACACACCTTGGTTACCATCCATCATATTTGACCACTGAAGCAAATAGCTGCTTTAAATCAGATGCTGTCTCCTGTGTGATCTTGTGATGCGCTGTATTTGTGCTTGTGGCAACTGTTTGTAAGTCATCATACAGACAATATATTGGATTGAGCCCATATGTTCCCTAGACAATGAGATCATGGTGTTTCAACAAAGTATACTGAAACTACAATTACAGAAAAATCTAGTAGATGTTACTATCACACTCCCTCCCAGATAACTTGCATTGGCACAAAAACAGTAGGATCTGTATTACAGTGATCTCAGCAGAATCAAGAACAACCGTCTTTAGAAGCAGTAGTAAAATGTGATCTACTCACCATCTACTTCTGCGGTCAGACCTTTGATGGAAGCTATCCAAAAGAGAGAGAAAAAAGCAGTGACCCACACAGAAAATACACGTTTCACTTAACAGACCTCAGTTGAAAAGTACCACCACAGATTTTTTTCAGCTTTGATCAAATCTTGATTAGCAAATACCTCCAGGGACAGTTTCAAATTCTGCCAACTCCTGGGTAAAAGTGGCCAAGCATGGTTCATGCAACATGATCTGCTCCACAAGGGCATGAAGCAAGGTGAACTTCCTGTCTCTCCCACGGAGCTGGGAGAGCTGGGGATGGAGAAAACACAGAGTGAAAAAAGGGCAAGGCCTACTGACCTGCAGTGTCCCGCACGATCACGAGGACTTACAACATAAAGGAAATGTGACAGATATGTATTGTTATATCTGTGTGTGCAGCTTGCTCGCTGAGGGCCAGGGAAAGAATACAATGAAAATGTCTAGAATCTGTTTATACATGTACTGATATTTTTTCGACATCCATGGTGTTGTGCATTTATAACGTCAACAAAGGTTTACCTTGGATATTCTATATGAAACTTTGACTATGACCTTACTGTGAGTACTAATGTAAACTCCTTTATCAGTACCTAAATGTCAAACAGGTTCTATTTTTCATTATTACTCATAAGCCATGTTTCCAACGAAATGTATTACAAATTTTAACAGCAAAGAACATTTGCGAAAGAAAATGTTTATTTCCATAAGATGTGATTATTATGAGTTGGTTCATCAAGATAAGCAGATAAGTACTCCGGTCGGAAAACCAGAGGAAGAAAGCGCAATTAGAAGATGACGTAATTAAAAGAGAGCCATTAAAACTTTAAATTGTCCTTCAATAAACCTTAAACATCGGAACTTATTCGGAAAAAGTATAACCATCTCCCATTAAGCACATTAACAAATTTTTCTCTTAAGCAAACATTGATGGAAACATGGCTATAGTTACTGGTAGTCGCACCAGTAAATGTGACTTACTATTTGTATGAAATGGTAATTTAGACTCTACAATTCAAGCCATGTTGCACTTCATGGTTCCATATAATTGAAATGCAAGAGGAACCTCTCTGATCCTGTGAAAGGAACTCATGGTCTTTTTCTAGGGTATTATGTTGTTTACCAATTTAAGGCCCCGGCCAGCCTCTGGGGACTATATATACAAGACATGCAAGTATTGATGCTCACAAGTGAAAAGCAAGAATCAAAAAAAGATCTAAGAAAGACTTGATACATTTTTCTTGGAAGCAGTTGGCCATTAATTTGAGGAGAGTCTGTCTCAAGCAGCAACAGTTTACTATTCTCAATTAGACCTGGAAACACCTCTGAGGGAACATGAGGCCTCGGCTTCATTAAATGGAGCAGAGGACGTTTTACTTCTGTGCCAGGAGCACTGCCCCTTAAACCTTCCCAGTAGAGAGACTTGCACACAAACGAGGTTCAAACTTAATTCAGAGAAAGGCAGAAAATACTCTGGCAAACCCCAGATAACACTTAAAACTATACATCCAATAACTACTAAACCTTAAAAGGAATAGTTCAACATTTTGGGAAATAGACTTATTTTCTCTCTTGCCGAGAGTTAGATAAGAAGATTGAGAATGCTCTCATATGAAGCTACAGCCAGCAGCCAGTTAGCTTAGCACAAAGACTGGAAACAGGGGAAAACTAGCCTGGCTCTGTCCAAAAGAAACAAAATCACATCTGAAGGTCACTAATTAACGTGTTGTTTGTTTAATCTATACAAAAACCGAGGTGTGAAAACAACACATTGTGGTTTTTACAGGATTATGTGCTTGACTATTTCTTGGCTGGGTGTAGTGAATGGCGACTCCAGGAAGTCACTGCTCCCGGCCAAGAATTGTGGATTCAAACAGCAAAAAAAAAAAAAACTCATTGTTGAGCCTTAGAGATGCTGGGTGGTGGATTTTGCTACCTTTGGACAGAGCAAGAGCTAATAGTAACCCTCCCCCCCCATTTCCAGACTTTATGCTAAGCTAAGCTAAGCGTCTCCTGGCTCCAGTTTTATAAACACCAGAAAGATATAAAAAAGGTATCAATCTTCTTATCAACCTCTCATCAAGAAAACCAATAAGCATATTTCCCAAAAGGTCAAATTATTCCTTTGAATAAACCAGAAAACAGGATCAGATATTTTTGCTTACATGAAATGATCCAACTGACTGCACTTAACAGAGGCTCACTTCATCCATGAGTGGCCACCCTTTGTGCAAAGTTTAATTTCTCCTGTGATGGCAGGAAGTGACACAATCACGTCTGTCAAAAGGACTGTGTCAAAGATCTGCGTGAGTGAAAGCTGAGAGAAACCCTGCAGTGTATATCAATGAGTAGTCTTATTAGCCTAGTGCTGCAACTCAATCAAAGGTCAGGCAACAGTGGTGGAGTCGTACTTTAGTTAAGGAGGAGAGGCGGAATCCCTTGGCCTTTTCCTTTCTGGCGTTCTCGTTGAGGTAATTGCCAATGGCGAGGAGGTACTCCAGCACGGAAACAAATGACCCGGAGTTGTTCAGCTGTGTGCACATTCTGATCTTCTGGTTAATCAGCTGGAAGATAAACACAGGGGCACAGAGCAAAGTCATTTTGTTTTGTAATCCGACCGCATACAGACCCTCGCATTCATTTCTCCTCAAAACAACTGTGAAAGTTAAGTGGAATAAGACTGAAGCTTGTTTAGGGGCTATCTGTGCTGACAAAGCTGAAAACAAAAATAACTCAAGGCTTCAGAATTTTACATTATAAAGATAAACAGCCATCTCACAACACCTCATTTGACCTCATAAAATGAATAATCATGGCTTGGTTGTCTGGCAAGCCTATTATTTGGTATGCAATTGTGTCAAGTACAAATATCCCTCAAGAATATTGCACAATTTTCCTGTTTAATAACCAGTTCTGAACAGACCCTGTTGAATATGGATAGAAATCATACTGAAAAGAAATGAAAGTGGGATGTAAGGTTTTGCCAATGGTGTGTTGGAGGAAAAAGGAGTTGATGCTATGGGAATCGTAGTCCTTGACAAAGAGTTAGCTTTTCCAAATAGGGTCCATACCAGCCAGCAACAACACTCCCACCATATGCTCCTGTTTTAAGAATAACTTCTCCAAAACCTACCAGGGGGACAACCTCCATTACACAGAAGAGAATGCAGATATCCAGCTACATTAAATCTACTGGCTTTGTACAGGACCATCTGTACTATCATGAAAAACTACTGTAGTTTTCATAAAACATAATGGAAAAAGCTCAGCATGCCGTGTAACTTGCTTTTAGAGCGCCATCTCATTTGGTATCAAAGTTCAATTTTACTGTCAAAAAGAAAAGTGTAATTATTTTAAAACCAATTGTTTTAAAATAATGCTTTGTTTTAAAGTATGCCATTCGTTCCTTTACAGGTCCGGTGTGTAACATTTAGGATCTATTGGTAAAAATGGAATGTAATATTTATAGGTATGTTTTTATTCAAGTATAATCACCTGAATATATTAATTGTTGTGGTTTTGTTACCTTAGAATGAGACTTTGATTATTTACAGATGCTGCGTGTCACCTTCCATTGGGTCCGCCATGTTGAACCGCCATGTTTCTACAGTAGGGGTGTTTGTGTTTTTTTGTGCATTCACTGCCACTGTAGTCTCTCCTTTGTGCTTGGAGGGGGAGGATGAACCGAGACCACTAGATGCCACTAAATCTTACAAACTGGATCTTTAAAGACACAATGAAATGAAAAATATATTTTCCAAATAAATGTAAAAAAAAAAATTATATAAAAACCCCTATCCTTCCAGTAAAATGTTAAAGAAAATAAAATCTAACTAGTTGGTTTGGAAAATGCATGTCTGGTTATCTTTCGTTAAAGAGCAGTGCACAGCCGCTACCCTAGTCTTTCCTATGGGAGCTTCCTACGGGACTAAATGGAGTCAAATAGGTCTACAGCCCAGTACCCCAGAGCTCTGTATCACTCAATCCACACTCACTTTTCCAATCAAATCTGAAGGTTTTGATTTAATCCCTGTTGTGACTATATCCCGACTACATTTTCTGCTTCATTCGAAAACATATCACATTAAAAAAGCTAAAGATGCTCTAACTTCGATTTCACTGTGACTTTAATTTGAAAACAGAGGTACGAAACAAAACTGCTGAAAAAGCTACATTTGGTTTTATCATTCAGTACATCAGAGCTTCAGGGGATGCATCCCTGTCCAGAGCTCTTCTGCCTGTCTACTGCATCACTGGCTTTGGTTCTGTGTCCTTGCTTCTCTTTATTTATATTTGGAAAATGGTTTCACAGAGAGCACAGCAAACATTTTAAAGAAGGAGTCGGGCTGATAATGCAGAGTAAAACCTGTCATTGTCATCGGCAGTGAAACGTAGCACCAACAAGCACATTGTAGGTAAGAAACATCCCTCAGGTGGTGACTTCTCCATTTTCTCTCCTCAAGCCCTGTCTGTCAGGTGGTGGGTAAATCCTTCTTAATGTTTGGGCTTTAAGAAGTCTGTCGTGTCAGAGAATCGAAGGATTTAGAGTACTCTGCGACAGAGAGGACCCTAACCTCTCCATGTTTGAACACATTGTATTGTGAGACAGTGACACGGTATGCTGTGGACAGTAGATTAGAAAGCAGTTTGTCACAGAGTACCTGCATGCAAATACCAACATTTGATCGAAAAGTGACCTCTTTTTTAATAAATCTAAGTTAGAACGCAGTAGAAAGAGAAACAATATCAGGAAGAAAAAGCCAAGAGTAAATTGAAACTTAATGAAATTGCTAATCTTTCTTGTCAAGTCATCTCGCCAGCACACGATATGTTTGTCTCTGTGTTTTAGACAAAGAAAAATTGCTGTCACAGTCAATGGATTACAGTGCCATCATTCTTATCCATTGTTTCTCTTCATTCTCAGACAGTCAGCAGACAAGAGATTAGGACTGGAGCACTGATGCTGAAAGGAACAGAAGCTTGAGAGAATCACATAAAAAAAAAACAACAACAAAAAAAAGAAAAACAACAGAGAAGCTTGGAGGTATTCTTGTCTGAATGCAATATCTTCACACCCTGCAGTCCCCAATGCCAATAAACAGCAAACCTCTATAAGAGTGTTAACGTTTAGTCTGACTAATGATGAACCTGAAACGTCTACATACTCGCACTGCACAAGCCTTAAACATTTGGCTGTGTGTGTAAGGCTTAAGAAAGCCCTAAAATAAGCTTATAAAGAATATACTGTATATTTAAATTGTAACTTTGTGGCGTTTATTTAGTTTTACCTTTTTATTTAAAAGTGATTTTCTTTGAAGAGAGTCCAGAAGTTTGTTGAATGAAATTAAATTCCTGAATTCTTCCACAGTACTTTCTAGTGAAAACCCCAAAGTGGGTTCTCACTGATAAAGATAAAAACTTCATATGCTTTACTACGGAAAAATTGAACTTGATTTGATTAAGATCCATCTTTTCTACTCCGTCAAATGAAGAGAGGTGTCTTAAAGTGCCTCTCATGCCTTTCTGTTTTCAAGTCTCTTAACTAACCAGCAAATAGAATAGAAACTACTTCACCCACCACTTCAAACATAAAGCTCAAACTGGAGGGGAAAAAAGCTTTCGAGTATTAATGTCAGTTTGTCCCCAGATGGTCTTTTCATTTATGTCTAAAGCCATGATGTGTCTGAACATTAGCATTTGCATTACGGAATAAATTTGCATGTTCCTGTTTCACCACGTGCTGTGCAGACTGTGGTTTTACCCTTTTTCAGCTTGGGATGGGGCACACTTTAGAAACATCTGATTCGACCTTTGATTTGACTCCGTAGGTGATCGAGTAAACTCACAGGCTGCAGGTCGTTCATGCTGATCGGGAGCTCTCTCAGAGTCAGCAGCAGGTCAAGTTGTGTGCTCAGGTAGGGGATGTTGCACATCTGTAGAAGGGGAAAGGTGTGAGCGTAATTGAGTGCAATTATCACATCATCACACAACCTATTACCATGTGATTATTCAGAATTATTTAAAAAACAGTGCTGCAGGGAGTTGAGATACAGTCGCTGGATGGCTGCAGCTTGCTCTCACAGACTCAAGTTCTTTGGCGAGATTACCTCAGGCAACAGTAGAGTGGTGCAGGCCTGTCGACAGGCTGATTTAATAGAGAAACTGAAGGCTTGACACCTTGAAACGATTGGCTGAGCTGCCTAGTCGACCTTTGAGTCGGTGCTAACCTCTAATAAATCACTCCACATTGTCAGACCGTTTCGCTCATGCTCAGGTACTATCTCCCAAAAGGCAAAGGGCACTTGGTCTGACGGATGGTTAAGGAGAGATATTAGGATTAGTGTTAGAAATCAAGGCCATGTAATCATTTGGCTATTTATAAAAATAAAATGTCCCAGAATGTGTCATCCTCCCCACTCTCAAGCATCGTTCTCCTCATCTTGTCACATTTTCTGACACATTTTAAATTTCTAATGGGGAGGTTAACAGATCACACTGATTCCATGCCAAGGTAACGCTGTTATGATTTAATTCCTCCTTGGCTAAAAATGTGTTCTCACATTAATCTCTGCGTTTAAAGAAATGACAATCTCAGACATTTTTTAAGACTTTTTTCTCAGATCCATAATATTTTGAGATATAAAAATACGCTTTTGTAGAATTTCTGCTTTCGTACAGGACAGGATTTAAGTTCCCAGTGAAAGCATAACAGGCATATACAGTGTAGTGCAAAAAATAATAGCCTGCAAAGCACTAGATTTGGATTTATTTCATGTTAAGGAAAAGGTCAGTTCTCAATCACTACAATATTGAGTTTTGTTTCTCTTTAATGGTAAACAATTTGTTCCCAGATGCCACTCTTGTGTCCTCTGCAGACAAACTGAGAGGAAAGTTATTACTGTTAGACAGATAACTCAATTTTTACCTGTCTAAAGGAAAACAAGACATAAGTATCTATAGCCATGCTAGTAGCTCAGTGAGGCTGATAATTGGCAGAGCTGTACATTAGCAGCATGCTAACTTGCTCACAATGACAAACTTATGTTATTAGGTATAATATTAACCATCTTCCATAGTGTGCTAGCATGCAAACATTTGCTAATTAACAATAAACACAAAGTATAGCTGAGGCTGAGGAGAAAGTAAATTAGATTTGCAGGTATTAACTTTGACCTGATGATGAACCATCAGACAGACATTGCCACCCCTAGAGCCACACCGCTGGCTGGACTAAAAAAGCACTACTTGCAAAGCACTAGCAGACCACACATATTGTTAATACAAGGGTATATACAGTGCAGTACAGACAGCAGCTGAGGTCGACTATCCTGTGCGGTACATGGAAGACACATTAAAGTCCAAGTAATAACAATGCTAAAAATTGTTCAGCTGTGATGATTCATAAGAAATGTATCAGCCCTTTCATTTTCTTTAATAATTTAATTGGTTAGGGGGGAAATGTCTGGAATGACTGAAAATTGCAGAACATTAGATTTTTTTTTTTTTCATTCCAAAGACTGAGCAATCAACTCTAATCTTCAACTGATGCAATTTCTATTAAGTGCAATATTTGAATACCTGCCTTAGTTGGCAGCAATAAAAAAGATAGTGAAAAAAAAAGATAGTGATTTCTATTTAGAAGTGTTCAGGCTGACTGCAGTGAAAGCATGTGCCTCTAGAAAGTATGTTTCCAAAGGCGATACCACACTGTTTCTTACATATAAAGATCCCTATATATCCCTCTATATCTGGTGTCAGATATTCCTGAAAAGCACTGTAGGCTGGTCCTGCTGTTCATCTGTTACCCCTCCTGCATCCTTTAGCCAACCGCACACGGGTCAGATGACTGCCAAGTATGCTGGAAGGTGATAACCAGATGAATGCAAAGAGCTTGTCATGACACCCACAGTGTGTGAATGAGGAGGCAGGTGAATGTAGACTCCACAAGCCCTTTTAAAGAAAGTGCTACATCAGCGCGAGCTGCGTTAGATTCTGCACGGGTCACGGTGTCACAAGTCAAATCCAAAGAAAGTTGCCATCTTAATTCTGGTAGTCATAATTCTGGCTAGTAAGTGGTAATACAAACTGTACCTCCATCATGTACTGGTCCACAATATGCAGTTCTGTCACAGGGCCCTTGTGAGATTTGTACATTTCCACATCATCCATGGTGGGGACGTACCTTAAACATAAAAGCAAACATAATATGTTAGTAGCCGTACCAGTACAATGAGTTTTGGTTATCTCACATCAGAAGTTCCTGTATTTCTTTTTCCTATTCTCCACAGAGTGGAGTGGGTCTGTTGCAAAAAGGTGATGTCCCATACTTTTGAGCACCAATCTGATTTAACCACACCCACACTTTGAGTGTTATAACACTACCTACGTTTTTATTACATTTTTAAACTCTGATGTTGCTTTTTTCCCCATGAATATTTAATAGGATAGGAGCCAAGTTTTTAGGCACTTTAACAGTCTTCCATTGTGACTGAATTTGTGAATAAAACTCCAAGCAGGTGTAGATCAGTCAGTAGAGGTGAGAGGGAAATCTAACCAATGAGCCTTTTCTTTTGGAACACATTAGCTATTTGGCTAAATCTGACACATCATAAGGATAAATTACATTAAATTAATTAATAAAGTAACATACAGTAAAGATTAAGTCAAGTAACTGATTGATTGCACCAGAATCGCGTCTAGGCTGCGAAGCAGCTGCCTTGGCTGATTGCAGCCACTCAAGACAATGCTTGTGATTCCACCAGACACGCTGCAGCATGTTTCAGAAGCAGCAGAAACAGCATAGAGAATCCTGTCAACAAAACACCCTGAGTCGTAAAAACGGACAAAAAACGAAAAAAAGCTACATAGCTGGCCCACGGTAGAAGAACCTAAAGAAAGAAATAATGTAAATAATGAAATCAGGGTAAATAAAAAAATATGGCAGGAAAAAGGCTCCACATCTGAAACACTCCTGGTGGGGCATGAAGCCGCGTGCAGGATGGACCAACAACAGTGTTACAGCTCGCTGTGAGGTGTAAAGGTGTACTCCAGGACCCTGTGACATCACTTGTGTGTGTGGTTACTGGTTGAACAGAGCAGATTTCTGTCGTATGTTTCAGCTCAGAGGGGGCAGCCATGGTGTTAAGTTACTCTTTAAGCCTGCAATAACAGATTTTTTTGCCACTTGGGGGCAGCGGAGACAGGCTGTGAACAGCACTGAAATATTAACACCTTTGAAGTTGATACGGCTAGGTGTTAGTAAATAGTTGCTTACACATCCAGCAGTTACAGATCGTGTTTGTGTCCCCCTGATAACTGGACGTCCAATATTCACTCTCCTAGCTCTGTTCTTGGTCTCCACCAACTCCTGAGGGAAATATGTGGCTCTTGAGCTGCTAAATGCTCCACTATGTTCACCAGCTAGTTGCTAGCTGTGTCTGTCAGCTGTTTGATAAACTCACCGTACACTACCTGCTCAGCTCCAAAGCTTTTTCTGCCACTGAAAACAATGCTGACTGTGAACCAATGCAATAAGGTGGAGAGGAACTGCAGAGTGCACCGCAATATGTGACACATATCACCTTACAGTCATTTGATCGATTGTCATTATAAAAATATTTATCCACTTCAGATTGGAAACAATAGTGCACCATAGTCACATGGTTAAGAATTAAGACAAAAATATTCACACATGCAAAAAGAAAAGCAAATAGAAGGATTGGAGAGAAGCTTGGTAACAATCACAAAAGTAGAAACTTTCTGAGCTGATGTCTGTAGGTGCCATAGTGAATATTTTATCGCTAAGGGGAAAGAGTGCATGCTGGAAATGTATAGTGTCTGTATAGTCAGCTGTATATGGATTGGGTTTCAACAGTTTGAACACATTCAGTGGGTATTTATTTGATTAACTTATTCAGAATTGATTGTTTGATTTATTGATATTACTAGTATCAATAAATAGAGGGGGATATTTATCTATATTGTAAAATTTATTTGCATGTAATGTTATGTTGGCGGGTGAGGACCATCACAGAAAATGCCGTTGACAGTGAACAGCTGCAGCTGCTGGCATGGATAATGGCATAGCTGGTTACAGTTGTGCAAAAAGTCTAGGCGAATTAATACACTTAATCTATGCAGTTTTGTTCCTCGTCTGCATATTTAAAATCCAATAAACATAAATGAGTCCATATGCAAAAATATTGGCCCTTATTTATCCAACAGGAAAAAAAGCACATATACCTATAGAACTACAGATTCATTTAAAAAATGTCACGTCAGAACTGGTGATGTCTTTCTTTCTCTATCACAAATACTTTCCCATTTTGACCTTTGCCTCTTTATGTCGTCACATGTTCTGTAATTCCCTCCCTCGGCCGGTCCGATTACATTGATTTCCCATGGCCTGAAGAAAGGCAAGTGATTAAAAGCCAAGTATAAAGCAGCGAGACGTTAATGGGAACAGCCATTTACTTGCTTGCACTGAATTTGAACCCCGCTCATCTTAAAGTGGACCTCCTCCTTCTGTCATTTCCGTGAGTTCTGACCGCAAACCGAAGGCATTCACTTTTTCATGAGCCAGCCTATGTGCCACTGGAGGAGCACCGGTCATTAATATTGCATCACCTGTTGGGAGTGGCTCTTTCAAGATTGTATTCCTCAGGCCTACGCCACAGTGCATTAAAATATATATTATGTTTTCATAGAATAAATAAAATCCTCCACACAGTACATTGGATCACTCTCGCCTTCCAGGAGGTCAGCATCCAAAGCCACTGAGTAAATTGCAGGTAAGAATCAGGAAGCATTTTACCTGCTTTCAGTCTTATATTCCTGAGGGCATGTCAATAGTTTCCATCTCCGCAAATAACCAGAGATAAAACTTTTATTAGTAAAGCTGCTCTGGTAAAAGGTTCTGGCATCTGCTCTTTAGTATTAGAACACCGTGAAGAACTGCTATGCAAACTGTGTCTCCCTCACATGAACTGGCTGTGGTTTCCCCTGTTTCTCAACGTCTCAACTGTACCGTGTCCTCACATCTCTTGTTGATGATGTGCTAAGCTGCTAGTGTCCAAAGGTTTTGTCTCTGCCAATGAAAACACACATCAACCGTCTATGGACTCAAAAAGTCATTCACCTCTCAGCTTCAGTTGTGACACTTATAAGAAATGAGGAATGAATACAAATCAGTGTTTTTTGGCACAAATTCATACCTCCTCAGAGAGGTGATGTGCTCATCAGACAGGCCTCCATCTTCCTCATTAATGATGAACAGTTTGTCCTTCAGCTCTCCCGGTTGCACTGGAAAACTTTTGAGGAAAATATCTAGAAGAAAAAAAAAAAGTCAACACACTCAATAGTACATGAAAGCTTTCCTCTTGACAGATAGTCTTCTTATCCTGCGATGAAATGACTCAAAAAGTATTCTGAAGACAAAGGGTCCTTTGCTTAATTACTTTCCCCCAAATGCCTAAGGGAAATGCACAAATTTGCATTCTATCAAGTCAAAGCTGATGTGATTTTTTTTTTTGTTTTACAGAAAATGCCTCTGCATAATTCAGGAGCTGTGAGAAGCATTCATTAGGAGCCTGCGTCAGTAATTTTAGACATGTATGTAAAACACATGGTGAATTTCACAAAATACATTTGAGATGCTTGAGTCAGTCAGACACTTTGGCATTGATTTGGAATTGTCACGTCCAACTTTCGTTTGTGTGGAAAAACAAGTGGAGCTTTGTATTCTGCACTGCAATATGGCACAGCAAAATGTGCAAACGACGGTGAGTGGCCCAGCCAAGAAATAGTTATAGCATGTAACTCTCCGTAAAAACCACAAATTGTTGTTTTCTACACATTGTTTTTGTGAACAGATTAAAACAAATGAGATGTGTTAAATAGGGAGGAGCTTTTAGGCAGATTTTGTAGGCTAGTTGTTTACCTCTTTTCACTCTTTATGCTAAGCTGCGCTAACTGGCTCCAGCTTCATACCAAACAGACAAATATGAGTGAGGTATCGATCTTCTCATCTAACTCTCAGCAACAAAGCTGATCAGCATATCTACCAAGATGTAAAACTATTATTTTAACTGCCCATAAAGGTTGACTTGGGTCAAATTGTTCTATTGCTGAATCCAAATCACCCAACTGATTGAAAATCTACTCATGACAAAGTGAATAAAATAATCATATTAAATGAGAAGCACTTTGGAAGTACAAAGCTGTAATCATCACGTCTCTAAATCCTTGACATTAAAGACCTGAGACAGTAATTCCCTCACCAGGACCAACAGAGGCTGTCATGTCACATTTTCAAATGAGGAATCACGACATCAAACATCCAAATAATGTTGAGGTCTACTAGTCCTCAAGAGTGAGGGTTAGGCTCCTAGCCTAAAAAAACAAAAACAAGTGCAAATCAAGCCCTTTGTTGACTGGCACTCAGACAAACTGGGCATTGCCCTGGCAAATTAGAGTATAGAGATGGAGAGTGTATCCCACTGGGTACAGGAAGCCACAGGTGTACTTTTAATTAGGTGTGCGACATTTCCAGTCATTAAATAGGCAGCATGCACAGGGGCTCTCGAGGTAAATAACCATATTAGTTGGACACACATTCTAAACAGAAATGCGCTATGATCATACAAACCCACAGTTGATCTCACACATTCACACAACAGTAAATTGCTGCTTATGCATTAATTAATCCGTATTAACAATCGAATAATGTAAAATATAATACTACCTCAGTCACAGGGTCATTTTTCAGGTATTTTAACTTTTGTTTCTAATAGTTCTGCACTTTTGTATACATGATTTCTACTTGTATTGGAGTGTTTTTACTCCACTACAAGTGTTGTGTTTGGTACTTTTACTTAATGAAAGGGTCTGAATACTTCTACCACCATTGATCTCATCAAAGGTGACAGCTAACTCTGACAAATTGCAGAAGCTGGTCTGTGTGAAGACATTTCATTTGATCAGAGTTTATTAAAACTTAAACAGATTTAAAAGTTGCGGTGGCATGCAGAGAAGAGCCAGTTACATCTAATATAAAATTGCAGCACATGCACATTTACACACAATCTTAGAATCTCTGTCTTTCATCTGCTCATGGGTATTTTTCAAAAGAATGCAATCAGAAAAATCTATATGAGCTACAATCTTGTTGTCAAAGGTCTTTTGGATTTGTACTTAGAATACTATAAATAAGTACAAGCATCATTACAGAATTGTCCTATGGTCCGTTGATGCAGCTGATGTTCTTGCTTGCCCACAAGGATCATGTTGATTACCAGAGGAAACCACTCAAAACCGCAGTACAACAGTAATACAACCACCTGCTCAAGCTGTCTAACTCCATCTGCCTCAGTGTGTAACTGCAAACAACATAATGTTTTTAAAGTCACAGTGGAAACAGTAAGAGTGCCAGCTTCATGCCAGATCCTAATCAACAGTTCTTAGTTTAAACATTAATTATTGATCACATACTTGTGATATTATATGATGGAGGTGTAGCCCGACAGTCTGCTGAGCTTTTGCACTATCTTTGTAAAAACAATGTGAGATTTTGCATGCATACTGTTGCTCCCAGTGTAATTGGATCAGATGAATAAATATTGTGGCAAAGAATGAGATATGAGCTGAATAAACAGCACACATTTAGGCAGGTTTGCAGTGATAAACATGCAAACAAGGGCAGGGAAGGCATGTGTGAGTGTGTCTGTGTGGGGGATGCCAAGAGAGAGAGAGAAGGGGAGAGAGGTCCTGTTGGTTTCAGTGAGAGCTGAATCCTGGAGGAGTTCCTGTGTTTTTAAAGTGTAAAAAGGCAGAAATCACCTTTGATCTGATTCTTTTTTTATTAGATAAAAAGTTTATCGAGTGTCTTTTCAGTTGTTCAGAGTGTTGGTCATAATATAGGTCAATAGCTTTAATACAAATGCAGTGATGTAATGTTTAGGTACTTGCACCAGGGGAGGATCTAAAAAATGCTTGGCCACCCCAGCTGCCACCCCAGTTTGGTGTCAAATGCTGTAAAAAATTATAATTATACATAATTTAATGATCTGTTAAGGACATGTTTAGGCAAAGTAATAGGCTTAAGTTCAGTGAAAAAAGAAGATTTGCAAATAAAAGACTTCTAATGCCACCTTTAGATATGAGCCACAATAATGTAATGTTTTCGAGTTTCTTCATTTGGGGGTTTTCCAAGCAAAAAATTATATATGTGATTGTTTGTGATTTGTATATTTTGCCACCCCTAAAGTCTCCATGCCTGTCAATGAATATGTCTCTAGATCCGCCCCTAGACTTTACTTAAGTATTAGCATTTTATCCATACATCTCCACTACAATTCAAAAGAAAATGTTTTCCCCTCTCACTTTGCTGATCATAATTACTTTTACTGGAGTGACATTTTCATTGGGCTTTTACTTGTAATGGAGTATTCCTACTGTATATTGCAGTATTGTTACTTTTAAGTAAAGGATCTGAATATTTCTTCCACCAGTGGTGAAATGTCACTTTCTATATTAATTAATAGGACCAAAGTAGGTGAGACAGCATGACAGAGTTTCCCTTGTTCTTCAAATGTCTAAATCTTTCTAAAGCTTGCAGCAGGAAGATGCATAGCCTCGGGTTGCCTGTAGGCTGTCATCACTCAGCTCCTGCTCCTGACACAACCAAAGTTTCCAGGTCAGAGAGGAGCACAAACTCCAAATGCAGGGGGATTCTGTATCAAGACAGAAAATCGCTGTCGTTGTCATTCAGATCCCCTATCTATATTTTATGAATATGTGAACTCCAATTATGCTGCCGGTTCTCACACACACTGAATCCATTTAGCAGCCCACCACCACATCTGTATCACTTCACCGTGTGTGTGCCTCTTGGAGGAGCTGTGAGAGGAAGCTTCTGAAATGTTCTCCCCAGGCTTGGGTCTTGAAATATACAAACCACGTACACTCAGTTAATCAAAAGTGAAAAGCCATTAGATGAGATATAGAATATGTTCCACCTTACAATAGCTCTGCAGATTGCATGGGCAGTTGTGACAGGATTGGTGACACACTGCCCCCTGCAGACACGTAGGAGGAACACCCATCTATCTGCTTTACAGCCACCGTGGCATCATTATAGTCTCAACCATCGTTTTAAAAGAGCAAAACGGCAAAATGGTTCTCAGGTCATCTTCCTCTTAATTGGGCAATTAAAGTCTAATTTATGAAAATTAAAAATCCTGACATTAACACTGCTCCTACAGAGAGTCTTATTATGTGGTGCTTCCCTCTGGTGGTTTTGGAAAGAGCTTATTTTACAACATCTAATCCACTGAAGGAATAAACTCCTTTATTTGAGTTAATCCAGAAGAATGCCATTTCATTACAAAATGGAAATTATATTTATTATCTTGCTGGCAAAATCCAATTTCCATCACAAAATGCTGGAAATTATCTGTTGCAGTGGACAATATTTATAAGCAACATCACCTCAGCACTCAGAAACATATTCATTGTTGAGCTACTCACTGAAGTTGTGTGCAACCTTCTGGTTGAGCATAATTTGCTGGGTATTACTCGGCTCAGCCGCTCCAAACGTCCCCAGATCTTTAACAGCAAATTGCTCATATAAGCGCAATGTGTCGATTTCAATCCTCTTGCTGCTTTTTTGTATCCAAAATGATTTTCCAATCTGCCAAGAAACAAATTAATTCAGTACTGAGACAACTCCATTTTATGAGGAAATCAATGTTAACATTACAAAGAGCAACACCGGGGAAGCAATAACTGACAGACAAAACAGAGAATAATTTCCAACAATGATGCAATATGAGGAATGATGAAGTAAAAATGAGGCTGCAAGTAACCTTTCTGTGTATAACACTGTATTTAAATATGAATAATTTGCTCTAATGAGAGCCTTTCTGGGCTTTATCCTTAACTGTAAACATATGGTAATTTAGTGTCTTCTGATGAATGAAGTTTTAACTGAAAAGTGACAGTATCTTACTCTTATGTCTATACCTTCTCTGAGCCAACTACGTCCCAGTGGAAAGCCTTGGTGCATGGTTTTCTTGAATTCGTCCTCAGATTGAAGGGTAAAGGTGGGGGCAATGGGATTTTTGGGGGTGCAGGCACTTTCACCACTGAAGAGCCTGATTCCTGGGTAAGACTCTCTGGGACTGTGGAAGAGGATGTGAGGGCATTGTTGGAGGGCGAGGGTTCAGGGGAGGTGGGTGAAGATAAGGCAATAACACCAACGGGAGAGGTCGGTGATGGGTCGGGAGGCAAAACATCAGGCCCGGAAACCTGAACAGCAGTCTTCACAGTGCTGCGAGGTTTAGGAACAGGCGTTGTGTGATCGGCTGAGGGACTTTGACTCGTGTCATCAGCTGATTGATGATCACCACCAGCAGTAGTGAGATCTTCATTTTCACTATCAACTGTAGGATAATTGAATGTCATATTTTTACCATTTGATTCAAGATCTGTGTCGGTGTTCTCCGCGTCTTCGGCTATGCTGATATTTTGTAGACCCCTTATTTCCTCTGGCATTTGTTCAGCCCTGGACTTCCTCTTCCAGTCTTTACACAGTTTGTCAATGGCCTGGACCCAAGCATCCCGCTGCTCCTGGACAGCCCCAGGGGGAGTAGTTTGATCTGGTAAAGGGACCTTGAATCTGCAATAAATCAATAAAACTTAACTCAACTTCCTTCATCGGCTGAGATAGGTTCAGTAATTAACACTTTAGGCCTATATTTATGACATTATGACTCAATGGAGGCTGCATCATAACTGTTACCAAAAAAAGCGGCTGACTGAAATTACACACTATTACAAGGTTGCAAATATATTTGAAAACAAACACAGCTGATGTGATAGACAGAATCCATTAACAGCTTTTTGTTGTGATTACTTTACCACATTTTAATAATCCTCACTCACTGGTACTCATTTTTGTGGGTGATCAGAGTGAAAGTGTCTGGGCTGGGAGTCTTCTGTACGCTGGTGTTGCCGTCTGACAGGTGAATCACGACAGACACGGGCACGGAGGATGTCACCTCACCGTCGGCGGGGCCTCGTCGCCTGAATGGCACCAGTGTTAGCTGGCCTGGGTGGAGTTGGACCTCATATCTGGAAACAAAATGAAGTACTGTGTAATATAAGCCACAATAACAGAATCTGAGCTGTGTCCCAGTTCCACCAGCTGTATTCAGCATACTGATTGTGTATTGGTTTAGTATACTATGTGTTTTACTAGGCTAAACTTTAACCCCCCAATACCGGATTTCTGAGGCCGATACTGATCAATATTTGGGATTTAAAATCAATAACTTGTATAAATTACCTCAAACCTAGTTTGGCATATCTGTGTTGTGATTTCTTGTCAATCAGTGGTGTAGTACAGGGTATACGCAGGTATACAGAGTATATTATTTTTCACTTAGCACTTAGCAAACCCACTTCTAAATCCCCTCTAATGTGCAGCATTCAGATAATTGTTTACCTAGGATGGGGAAGGCATGACATAAGTAAGAAATAAGTACTTCACTCAAAAGGAATAATTATGTAGTCGTCTCATCCATCTGTCAGCCAGTATTTATTGAAAAATCTGCACCTCTTCTGTGTTCTGTTAAATTCATAATGACTCTTTCTAAGCAGCAAGCAGCAAAAGCTATGCAAATACTACTACTGTTTTTTTAGGTGAACTAAGTATGCAAGAGTAGTCTTACATGTCACTGATTATAACTCAGGGCATTTATCGTTTGATGAAAGGGCTGTTTAAAGTAAAAGAAAAATTCATAACTGCTACAAAAATTGGTTATAAATTAAAGAGTGTACCCAACCCCCACTCCTGGCACTACTACATCATTGTTGTTAATCATCAGCCAACATAAAACACTATATCGGTCTAGCTCTATTCTGTACAAACAGATTATGGTGCAACAAAAGCGGCAACAAACATCAATGTGACAAAGAGAAAGCAAAATGTAATAGTTGGGAAGTACACTTCATCGCTGTCATGCCAGGCATATGTACAGTATGAGAAGATACCACTCTCATGTTAGCTAAGCCTGGAGACGGTTAGCTTAGCATAAAGACTTGAAACAAGAGGGAAACAGCTAGCCTGCCTCTGTCGGAGGTCACATAGGGTATGTGTGTTTATATGTGTAGACAGCCATATGGTCAAATGCTTCTTTTGATTTATTCCCTTTATTTCAACTTTATTCTCAATATTTAGACTTTATTCTCAATATTTAGACTTTATTCTCAATATTTTGATTTTATTCTCAACATTTCGACTTGATTCTCAAAAAAAAACTTCCTTCTATAATTCTTTTTTTTTTTTTAACTTATGCCTGGCCCTAATACTCCTTCGTAGACACAAATAATTACTCAAAGCAGCGTATTTTTTATGTCTTAGTCTGGAGGGGATCTTTAATTGTGTCACTTCTCCAGCGTGCACAAAAGACAAACGCAAAACCTACTTAGAATTCACAGTCCTGATTTAAAAAACAATTTATAAAGTGAATTAAAAATATGTATTTGTAACTGGGAGCGTTGGTCTGAACACGTAGCCACAAAGAATTGATCATCCCTAACTATGCTGCACATTTGTTGTGTAGCTGTTTTAGAATAGCAGATAAGGACACATCCGTACTTCACCCATCTGAATGATGCCAGGCCGCCTCGGTGCAGTAACAAGACGCCTTGCTGAAGGGTCTGTGATGCTTGAGGCTGCTGATGCGTTTCTGCATCGCTCTCTTCAGGATCACTGTATATGTTCCCATAAATTATCTGATTCAGGAGTTGAATCATCTGTTCAAACAGAGAGAATCACCAGCATTAAAAAAAAATCCCTGTGAAAGCATCAATAACAATTGGCCACAAAGGAAAACAAGAATAACATCTTCCCTCCTCTTAGCACAAATTGTTTTAACGGTAATGACAGGCCCAATAGAGTTGTAATGGAAGTAAATAAGTATGGCGGTTTTCAATGTGCTGGTTTAATTTTATAGTTTAAATGCACCCACAGTAAGTATAAATTCACCTTGTGTTTGTCCTCCAGTGAAGTGGCCTCCAATTCATAATCATGATGTCCTTTAAAGGAAATGGAGAACCTGGAACCCACTCCATCATCACAACTCTTGACAATGGAGAAGGGAAGTTGTCGCTTGATGATACCTTTCTCAATGCTGCACAGCATTTTGGTCTTGAAATCAATCTGGGTCATCACAATGAGAGGGTTTAAATAAGTGAATAAGCGCATATCTACTGTACATACATCCATTGTCATCTACAGTATAACCACTTATCCTTCGCAGGGTCGCAGGGAGCTGGAGCTGACATTGGGAGAGACACTGTATATACAACACAGTGAAAAGGGTCATATTTATACATTTTTTATTTTAGCCATGCTAGAAGCCTGGTCCAAACTGAAATATATGCAATGATTTTTTTTTTTTACATACATTCACAAATCCCACTGATTTTGTTGACCACTTTTCCTGTGGAAATTTGGGACGGACATTCCTGTCCCCCTCAGGATGCACTGTAATTACTTTGGTGATCAGTTATCTTCATTCATCTAATACTTTGGTTTCTGACCAAATACTTGCAGAATGGCATTCCTATTCACCTCAGATGGACAAATGTTAGCCTGCTAACACCCTGCTGAACTCGCTAAACATCATTTTCAGCATTGTATAGCATTGCTGTGTCTAAGTAAAGTTTCACAGAGCTGCTAGCATGGCTGTGGGCGCTTTTTTTATATATAAAAAAAAAAAACTCACCTGAAGAACCCGCTTCTGCCATCTGTAGTGGTTGTGCTTGCGAACACTGAAGTTGTACTGTGAGGGCTGCTGTTCCTGCAACAACAGCCAAAAAACTCAAATGTCAGACATTACTACCTAATAGGAAAACACCTTTTAGTCATTTTAAGGTCAGCATCTTTTATTCTTTGACTGTTTCCTGCTGCGGCGTAGAAGATTAGCAACAAAATTCCTTCGGAAAAAAAAAACCAGACACAGATTTATTTAAAAACCGATCCAGCAGGCTGAGCAGCTTCTTAGCATAACAAGGAGCAGAAGTCTGTCATTTACAAGACAGGTTTCCTCCAACCTGTTTTTTTTTTTGTGTGTGAAGATTTGGGTCAGGATAGCATTAAGAATGGAAGCAGTAACTTCCTGGAGTCTTGTTGTCACTGTGAGGTTGCAGTGCGGACTCTGAGGGGGGGCAGGGAGGGAAAAAATAAAAAGGGCACAACAACTTTTCTAGCATGTAGTGCTGCCGACATGGCACTGCATCACATTGTCTCCACTAGAAGGTCACCTTAGAGGGCACTATATCAAATTTTCTTGCACATTGGGCCATCCTAGAGGGCACTTAATCATGTTTCATCTATCGTAGGGGCATCCAAGAGTGCACTTTTGCAGCTTTTTTTTTTCACCCAGCTCCGACTAGTTCCCTATTTTCCTCAAAATAGAAGAATAGAAACTCTGCCATACTAAAACTCAGGTTTACATGAAAATTTTGGGATCACAGCCCGCAAAATACTGAGGAAGCTTGGTTTAAAATGGTCGTACCTCTTTAGCCAGGCTCTCCTGTTTGGGCAGATTACTGTCCTTCCGTGCCTCTTTAAGAGCATCTTCAATAGTCAACTCTCCCCTCTTCACCCGAGTCATGAGGTTCAGCTGCATCTCATTGCTCAACTGCAAGCACAACAACATGGGGGGGAAAAGTGTAACTGTATTATTAACTGGAAATGTTAGGATTTCTTTTTATCTTTCTACGTCCACATTTAAGCAGCAATTTTGATTGTGAACCAAACATATTGTATGTGAACAATTATGGTTCATATTTCCCAAAATATGCATGGTAAAGTGACAAAAAGAGGTTTGTCTTGCATTTGGTAAACTAACAAATAACTCACAGATCACAACTATACGTTTAGTTACATAAGAATAGACCATGTACTACCACTAATAAGACTAAGCACATTAAGATCATAATCTATGTACAACAACCTCCTTACTTACTATAAATAAGTAACAGTAATTAGAAGGAAACTCAATGGCCTGGTAGTGGTAGAATACGGTTATCCAGAACAAGACATTAATTAATGCTTTATAATGATTAATAAAAAGACAATATGCCACTAATATGCATGCTTATAAGCATCTATGCTCTTTCATGCTCAGGTCTATTTAGGCATCATGCAGCATTTAGCTTTAACAATGCTTCACAGAAAATAAGTGTTCTTTCAGATATGTGTGATGGTTGATAAGAAAGACAAGTTTGGTCAGTCTCAACTCAGTGGAATTGTAAAGAGGAACCACTGTGCTGCGACGTACAATCACCATCTGTATCTGTCAAACATATGCTATTACAGGAACATACAGCCTTCCTCAAATCAGTCATTGTCTGTCAAGTTTCTGAGTAAATAAGCGTTCCTTTGTGGGAAACTACTAACAGCAGGGAAGTCAGCTTGAATTGAGGAAGTATGCTTGAGAGATTTCCCACATACTGAACTAAAACTGTGTCCCCTCTTACCACACAGGCCTGACGTTAATGAAAGTGAGGGGGCTGTTTTCTCTGGAGCGGTATACAGGAAAGCTGTTGTTTTGGTATAGTAACTCTGACACCTGCATTGATTTCACACTTTTATAGACAGACAGGGTAAATTGGAATTTGACACTTGCTGTTTAAAGCATTTACTGCTTGATGCTTGCTTTCTTATTTAAGTATATAAACTGAAATCGTACCTGTGGAAAGTCCTCAGTGTGCTTTTCCATTCTAGATAGATTGTCTTTCTTCTTTGGTCCTAAACTTGGCATGTCATACAAAAATCCATGCAACCGCTCAGTCCATGAAATTGATCCTCTTTTTAAATGATCAATGTAAAAACTGTTTTGTTGTTGGTGTGGTTTTTGTCATGCGAGACCTAAACAGAGATCTGCGTCTCTGACTGGAAAAAGTTGCTCTGATTTGTGTCTTGTTTCTACCACCGCCCTCTTTCAGCTCAGGTTACACTTCTTCAAGGTAAGGCTGACAGTGGTTCTCCAGCCACGCCTACAGGAAACACACAAGTTTTTCTTTGTCAGGACGGCAAACATTTCCTCTCTGTTTACATGTCTGCACTTGCAGGACAATCTGCTCATCTGCTGCTTTGTCCAGGAGAGAGCACTAAGAAACTGAAGCTCTTCCCTAATACCCCTATTGATACAACACAATACACTAATACAAGCTATATCTCAAAATCTAATTGTCTATACATGAAATATGATATAATTTTACTGAAAGGTTTGCATGGAACTGGTCCAAGAATCACAGCTAATTTGTATGAAAAGGGGTACTTGTGGTCCACACTTCTCTTTCCAATTGTTCCTGTTAGGAGCCATTTTTTTAGCTTTTAACTAATCATAGATGTATGCGTGCACTACATACATGAATGTGGCAACATATAGCAGGCTGATACTGAAACAAAATATTACAAAAATGTATTTTAAATAACATTTCAATCTCATAGTATTTACATTTTTTTGGAGTATTATTTGTTTTTTTTTATTTTTTGCATTTCTGTAGAATACACACATCACCAGTGGTACACACAGCACAGATTGAGAATCAGTGGTGTAACAGATACAAAGGTTGTAATGCCTGAGTATTTTACCTCCAAAAACTATTGCCTACTTAAAAATGCTTTTTCAGCCTTCGGATAATCTTCTCAGAATGCAAGAATAACATTACAACATACATGTATGTATGTAATAACATACAGTATCTACAAACAAAACATGTTCTTTGAGCTTTCTTGACCATTTTAAGTAGTTTGTTTAAGGAATTAAACTGTATTTTTAATAATTTACATTCTGTATGTGTCTGTCTTGCTGGGCCTGTCCTCTACTTTCAATATTTTAATTATAAGGAAATCTGTCATTTGTGCTTTTGATTCAATAATTGGTGTGCACAAAATACTTCTTTTTTCAGATTTATGTGAATTAACAACCAAAATTACCAACCAGCTAAAGGAAATACTCACATAAAGCAAGAAGAAGGTATATCAGAGAACTCAATATTTAATACCATTCTCTCACTGGCCAGTTTAAGTTGTGGCTTATTAATAATGAACTATGTCAACATTAGTATATTAGGGTCCTTTCTGCTGTCTTCTTGTTGTCTGTCTTGCCCTTGAATGTTTAATATGGATTTATTAATTATTGGTGGATGAGTGCCGTACTATTGTGTACATATTTTTTAAGATATCTATTTTAGGGCATCTGGCTAAGGAAGATTAGCCTTTTATGGTAACTCTAGTTCATTACAGTTTTTTTCTTCCAGTTGATCAATGAGTCTCATCAACTACAAACTGGATGACAACTGCTTGTGGTTTAGTATGAACTCATTTAAATGGTAAGTGAATTACACATACTGTACTGAGGGACTTTATCCATAACAGGTCGATTATCAACAACAACATTATAGTTTGATGCTTTTATTAATGAAGAGTAATCCAAAGTTATTTTCAGATAAACTGTTCAGAAGTCTACTAACTGAAATCACCTTTTAACCTAATATCTAACAAAATGCTCAAATAAAGTGACATAAGTTAAAGCTGCAGTAGGTAACTTTAAAAAAAATAACTTTTTGTCATATTTCCTTAAATGTTCACTATATTCTGACAGTACTACACGAGACTGATAATCTGTGAAAAAATCATGTTCCTATGGCTCCTCCTGGTGCTCCTAATGGCCTTTGCAGGCATCCACCGGGCCTGAATGAAAACAACCAATCAGAGCCAAGAAAGATAGAAAAACACTTTGAGTTGGTGAGTTGGTGGATATTTGATAGATGAGTCTCAGTTAGTAAAAAATGATGAAATATGTACATTTTAACATTCCCCATTACCCCCTCATCTGTCCCCCGCATCATCCCTTTTTCTCCAATCCTGGTCAACAGTGAACAGATGCACACAAATGTCAGTACAAAAGAGGAAAAACACACCAAATGTCGAGGTAAAAGTCTCCAGGTTCCATTACATCTGTATAATTTATTGCATTAGATTGTAATATAAGTATTATTTCTATTCTTTAACATTGTGTGAACTGTTAAAAAAAAGAAAATCCCCCCAGGGATCAGTAAAGCATTTCTGATTTCTGATAATTTATATTTTAAAATAACTATCTAACACAGTTATCTCTTCTATGACAAGCCTCTGAAACAAACATCCAGGAATAACATGAAGGTGAAGTCCGTGATTTCCACTGAAGCAGACTGTACCATTACTCCTATAGTAAAACAAATCAATCTGTATAGGGCTGTATTCTGAATGAGTTAATAGGGATTTTACTAAACCTATAAAGAACAAAATGTGACTTGTCTAATATAAAGTTCAGAGGTGTCCTTGTGTTTTCCAGTAAATATGTACAAACTGGCTTATTGTTTAATGTGGACACTTACTAGGAATCCATTGGAATTTCCAACCAGGAATAGCTGCTTGTGCTTTTTGGCTGCACCCGGTTCCTGTACTGTAACTGCACGAATACACAGACAGCAACAAAACCGAACTGACCGCGTTTTAGACATGTTAAGTGTTGAGTACATGCGCAGTGAAGTGCATGTCTGAAGGCTTATAACACAGCAGCCCCCCTTCACCAGCAGATACTCGGTGACAGTGTGGGAAACCCCCCTGTATGAGAACTTCTTGGGGAATCCCTTCATCTGGTGGGGTTTCAGGCTGTACCATGGAATAGGTGGAGTCAAGAACAATGAAAACAGTCAAACTCTTCACTCCTACATTTCCTAAGAAGCGACACAGTCTGTGAATGTTTTCCCCTGTGGATAAAACATGAAATTCACTTAAGCTGCTCTGATAGTGGCCTAATAAAAAAAAGCTCAGTATCATTTAAAAAAGTTATCACTGCTGGAATGTAACTGAGTACATTTACTCAAGTACTTTAGGAGAGTTTCTTTGCAAATTAAGATTTTACACACAAAATGAGTAATGTATTGCTTTATAAACTATTCCAACACTAAATAAAGAAGTTAAAATTAGCTCCACCTCGGCCAGCTGCTACAGCAAAGAGCTGCTTATATTCATGCATCAAGAATAATAATACAATAATATAATACACAGTAATATAACAGGGGTCATTCCTCTCCATAAATAGTACTTTTACTTTCCATACTTTTAAGTACACTTTGCTGATGGTGCTTCTTTTACAATACAGGACTTTTACTTACAAACACTGTGATATTATTACTTTTACTAAAGTAAAAGACATGAGTACTTATTACACCACTGGTAGTCAGGGGTGGATCTAGATGGGTGTGAAATGTAACACATATAGCTGGATGATCTGTTATGTGCACCTTTTAGACTAAGTGATAAGCTCAGTTCAATTAAAAAAAAGATATGTGTTTGGAACAATTTGAAGATTTGTAAATAAAACAATGTATTGATTTCTAATGCCAACTTTAAGATATTTATATTCACTGCTTTACTAATGTGCCACAATAATCTAATGTTTTTAAGTTCAAATATCTTAATTTGGGGGTTTATCCAAGCAAATATTGATTGATATTGATTAATTTTTGCGATTAAATCAGCATATATATTTCTGCCACTCCATGTTTATTTCTTTAGATCCGCCCCTGCTGAGAGTTACTGAACTTAAATATTCTCCTTATCTAAAACCAACTGCACATTTTCATGGCTGTGGTATTGATACTGTACATGAGGAGAATCGTAGTACCTCTGCACAGTTTTAGGGACCAAAACTGTGGCATGTACAATACGATAGGCTATAGTACAAATTTACAGTAAATGGTCAAGTCACATGGGAAACTACCCCTAGCTGCGACTGCGGAGGAGGAAATACCCTCATAGCCAGATAAAGCAGAGCAGAGCAGAGCGCAGCCTGGGTGACAGCTCGGTGTGGAAGCGGAGAGCAACATGTTGAGATCACCAGACCAACTCAGGAGGATGCACATATTCCTACCGATGGTGGGGATTTGGGCTCATCTGGTGAGTAACAGGATTCATGTATTTCGTTGTTTAAAAAAAAAAAAGAGCTGGTTTAGAGATTTGGACTGGTGATCGGGTTAGTGTAGCCCAAGTAGCTCACTTTACATCGTCGCAATTACACGTTTTCATCTACTTGTGCTATAATCTTATACTACATTAGTTGATTCCATCCATCCTTTCCTTATAAGTATAGTTTATTTGGGTATTTTGGTCGAAATTGTGCACATTATTAAGGTTACACCCAATGACGCATGTCGCGTTAAAAGTTACTTTCACTTTCGTTTTCGCCGCAGCTTGCACAAAGGTTGTGGTGAAAACGAGTTTGTCCGTAACCCAATACGCAAAATCATGATATTAGTAGCAAAAACGTCAAAAGACAGAGCAGAAATGCACCTGGCTGGCATTGAGTTTCACACTGAAAGGCTTGCTGAATGCTTGGGACTTTCCGTCACACCCCTCTCAGTCTGGTCTGAGGAAGTGGAGCTAACTGCCGTGACAAAGAAAAAACATCACAAGAGAGAGGCCTAACCATATTTCTTTCTATATCACACAGTTGTTTTTGCAGACTGCCGCTCAGCCGTGCGACCCACTAACGCAGTACATGAAGAATGGGCAGTGCTGTCAAATGTGTGGTCCAGGTACGTAAACACTTTCTCCTCTGCTGGCTTTGTTACATCATTACAAAGGATCTAGTAACATTGTAATATCACCCCTGGGACATTGGACTGCAGTCACACAGACTTTGTTGAGGGGTTGTGTCCCATTCGCTGAATGTAGAAAATGTATAAAATAGGCTCCTAACAGACAAAATATGAGTTCCTTCAGTAGATGTGTGAGTAAAGGAGGGGTCAGTCATTCTGGAGACAGATAGCTGTCTCATTCCCAGGTCACCAAATACCGACGCTATGGTTTGCCAAAGGGTCTGTATTTGATGACCTGGGAGAACCACCTGGTGTGTTGTGCGGCCCACTCCGAGTCACTTTCCCATTTACCATAACCCAAAGTGAATTCATTTATTTTATTTAATGTTTATTTGATAGAGACAGATACAGTTTACATAGAAAGCTGCTTTACAATTATCCAAAGCAATGTATCACAGCATTTATAACTACAGCTAATTTCCAGTGCGCGTCCCTAAAGGGTCTTTACAATAAAAGAACATGCAACAGAATTAATATTAAATGTGTGTAGAACACAAAGATGACAAAAGGCAGCACATTTCAAGATGACTTAACTGATTTACTTTTACTTTCATTTAGCTTCCCTCTTTTCCTTCATTGGATTCTGTTTCACTTTAACTTATTCGCTTTCTTGCCAAGACCTAGAGGAGAAGATCAATACCACTATCATCTCTGTCTGTTATATGAAGCTACATCCATGTAGACCTGAGACGAGTAGTCCGTTTATCGATTATCAATCGTCAGAAAAGTAATTGTAGAAGTGAAAAAGTATTTTCATAACCGTGTAATTGCTTAAGTCATTTTTCAGGTGACAATAGGAAAAACAATTGCTCACACTCCCTCATCAAATGAGAGGATTTGCTCCTTTTAACTGATTTGAATAAATGGGAACTGAATCTTTTGAGTTTGGGACTTTTGGTGGAACAATAAAGACATTTTCAGACGTCATCTTGCACTCTGGAAAGTTTAGAACCATCTACAACCAGGAGACAACTAGCTTACTGCTCCCCGGCAAGAAATAGTCCCCCACAGTCGACTTTTGTATGGATTACCCAAATCAGATATAACCTAATTAGTGAGCTTTAGAGGTGCTGGTGGATGCATCTGGTTAAGTTTTGGGAAGAGCCAGAGTAGCTTTTTCCTTCTATCTCCAGTCTTTATCCTAAGATAACTGTCTCCTGGCTGTAGCTTTGTATTTAACAGAAACATTTGAGAGGGGTCAGCAAGAAAGGGAATAAACATATTACCAACAATGTCAAACTATTCCTTTAAGCCACAGGTCCCCCTTCAGCGCATACACTTAAATACTATACTACTGCACAGTACTACTGCATTTTCACCATGAAGCAACACTATGTTTTTCAGGGACCAGCATGTTGATGAGCAGTACTTGTCAGGAACCAGAGTGCCGAATCTGTGGGGACGCAGAATATCAAGATAAATACACAAGTGAACAGAAGTGTCAACGTCAACCATACTGTGACCCAAGTAAGACCTCCAGACAAATGAAACAAAACAGCTCCCATAATGAGAGACTTATGTTTGATGTGGTACAACTCGTGTCTGTTCTTCTTCCAGATAATAACTTTAGGCCTCCCGACAATGTACTCACAAAAAAAACCATCTGCATGTGTAAAGAGGGATTTCACTGCTCCGCTGAAGCGTGCATAACCTGTGTCCCACATACACCCTGTAACTCGGGATATGGGGTTAAATCTGAAGGTACGAAGGGAAACTTTTATTTATATTGAATATAAAACATGATCACATTTATGTTTTTCGCAATGTGCTAAATCCTTTTTTTGGCTATCACACTTTTGTTTTTCAGGCAATCATTTGCGTGACACTGTGTGTGAAAAATGCCCCAAAGGCACATTTTCCAATGAGATCTCACTAAGCGGAGTCTGTATGAAGTGGACAGAGTAAGTATAGGAACTTCCGATACATTGACATATGAATTGAGAGAGCAGCAGCACTCCGAAAACGTTGCTGAGGTAGTGACCTTATATTAGAACTATGAGGACTAGTTCATACAATGGGTCGTTTAACCACATCTGGCCGCTATAGAGACACGATTATCGTTCAAATGGGGATAACCGCGCACACGCTCGGACAATCTCTCCTCAAAGGCATTCATAATCTCACACTGGATTTTACACACTAAAAGGGATCAAAGTAGTTGTGTTGAAAACTTTTATTACCTCCGCACACCTGGACAATCCCAGTGTGAATTACCTGTGCTTGATGGATTGTTACAGAAATTGTTGGATATTGGATGCAGCCCCCGAATTCCAACACTGAAAAGGTATTTTTTTGACGATCCAACAAGCACTTCGGTTGAAGCACGCTGAGACCTTAACCTTAAGCATCTTGCACTGGATTGACTACATTTACATTCAGTCTCATCTCTGAAGAACTAGCAGCTAACTTTTTCAGCAAATCCTATTTGGACATAAAAATGACAAATTGGAGGAATAATTAAAGGAAGAAACATAACAAATGCTTCCATACAGGGCACTAAATGGTTTGATGAGTATGAAAATTATGTAAATTGTGTTATGGCCTTCACAGTCAGATATAGATACGTAACCACTGTTCCTACAGTGGCAAGTTCACATACATTAGTCAATTGTAACTGACCACATTATCAAATAGGCTAGGCTTTCATTTCCTTCAGGCATTGCGGATGCAGCACAAGCTGGTTTTGTAAGGTTTCCAGTGAATCAGAACATAAACGAGCTAGACTGCAGAAAAAAAATATTTAATTCCCTGTGCCACTCACCGGCTACTGGCTGCCACCAGCAACCTTTAAGGTGGAATGTTTTTTGCAGTTTACTCAATGCATGAGTTGACTGTGTGAATCAATCAGCACACTTTTAATGGCAACATGACAGCTTTGACCATTACATTACATTACATTTTTATTGATTTTATTTGATTGGATCTTCAAGCAATTAAAAAGCTACCAAACTTAAGGAAGTCTTGTGCCAAGAAGCATTAAAGCTGTTCTGGAGATTTCTGTTTTCCTTTCATTTGTTGCCCAGCTGTCTCTACACAATAACATTAGCAAACAGCTGCCTTCTTTTTAGACACTTCAGGACAAATAATCACCTGAATCTGAATCGTTTGGTCACAATATGAATTATCCTTTAACACTGTGAAATTCTCTGCAGATGTGGGAATGGACAGCGTGAGCGACAAAGCGGAACAGACATATCCGACACCATCTGTGGTAAGTTTTGTGTAGGCAGACGAACTTCAAATCTTTCAGTTTTATCTCTCCTGCTGCAGCTGTGTGGTTAGTGGTGATTGTTATAACGAAACTCTGGAGGCGTTGAGATGATACATCTTGCTAGTCTATGTTGGTCTGTGGTTTTGAGTGTGTGATTAACACCTTTCACCTACACACTATCAACACTACATGTGTGTACACTCTACTATGTTTGAAATTTTTAGAATGAAAAAGTAAGCATGAAAATCATATTTTCTCTACACCTTTTTGTTTGTGCTTCTTCTGCTAAAATGCAAACGTGTGGCAGGTATGTTTTTCATTGACATTAATGTATTTAATTATGTTTATTCTTTTAAAGAAATACCCATGTTCTACTCAGTTGATCTAATTGTCTTGTATTATAGGAAATAATACATCATGAGTGCGGGTTAGACACCAGTGGAAGAATCGATCTGTGCCTAATGGCTTTTTTTTTCTTGTCTTGCAGAGGAAACCAAACGGAACCATACTCTCCTGATCAGTATTTCAGTAATTAGTGCCATATTGGTATTAGTCATTGCTGCAGTCATTCTCTGCCGAAAATATGGTACGCTGTGCACGAAACACTCTCTTTTATAACATGTTTCATGAGGTAATGTTTCAGTAATCCACTTAATGTACTCATGTTCTCTGTCTTCTTCTTACTTTCGTGATAGGTCAACGAGATGCGAGAGGAAATTTAAAGGTAAATGTGATTTTTGTCTTCGTTGTTGACTGCTATATTAGGGCTTGTATCCATATAGCGTTGGGATGAAGAAAAAAAAACACCAGCAACATTATATTGCGGAATATATACTTAAGTAGACAGGTGTACTCCCTAAACATTTGACATTCTCTCAAAAAGACTATTTTCTGTAAATGATCATGTTGGAAATCCACATTCAACTGATTACTGTCAGCAGCTGACAGGATAAAACAATGTTACACTCGAACATGATGTTAATTTCCCACTGCAGTCTTTTTTTGATATGCACATTTAAAGGCATAGTTTAGCATTTCTGGAAATACTCGCATTCTGCATCTTGCCTAGAGTTAAATTAGAAGATCAATACCACTTATGTATCTGCACACTAAATATGAAGATACAGTCAGTTGGTGCTTAGCTTAGCTTAGCATAAAGGCTAGAAACAGGGAGAACCAGCCAACCTGTTTTGTTTACCTTTCGACAGAGCCCTGGCCAGCTGTTTCTCTTTGTTTCCAGTCTTCATACTTAAATCTACTAATACTGTAAATGCCTCTACGTCTAACTCCCGACAAGAAAGTGAATAAGCATATCTCCCAAAATGCCAAACTGTTATTTTAAATGGCATTTAATTTAGGGTCTACAGCACAGTAGTTACGGGAGTTATACGTAATCCCTTAACCTACATTTTTTTAATCCCCTAAAAGTAAACCGGGTTTTGTGTTTATGTGATACTTTCCCAAGTGGAGTGATCTGATCAATTTTGTGCATGTAAACATAAACTGTTGTCTTAAATGCATAAGAAATGACTTCCATTACTCACATACATTCCCACAAAATGAAATATTTTGTATTTCTAATATTTCTATATCTCAACACCGTTTTACTCTCGTAGGGCTGTGTGGAATCGTGTATAGATGAAAAGGTGCACCTGACCGGACACAAACCAATAACACAACCAACCGATAACGAAGAAGAATTCATGTCGCCTGAGATGCAGTCCTCACAAGAAGAGAGCTCTCTGAGGACACCGGTGGAAAACGAGGACGAGCCGAGCCAGGAGATGTCATCGGATATGGGCCAGCGTCTCACTGAAAACGGAAACTTTGTGACACAGGAGAATGGGAAAACATACATCCTCTCCAGACAGGAATCGCAAACTCACACAGTAACAGACTGAAAAACAGCTGCCATTAAGCTCTCCATCGTTGATAGCAGGGAGTTCTGGGTGTAACCTGTTTGTATTGTTGCCTCTATGTTTCAGTTGTACATATTTCTCCACATTAAGTGTTGTCAATAAATTTAAATTATGTGCTGAAATGACCAAGTTGTAGTGTAACAATATTAGAAGCTAGGGGGGTAGGACAGCGTGAGCATTAGTTTTTAAGTCGGTAGTGTTTTTTAGGTGGCAGGCTCATTTTCACTGTGTGTTTGCATTTTGACAACTTCTGTGTCAATTCTTGCATTTTGTACATAATTGCACAAAGGTACTAGTTGTGTTATGTTAATAATTGTGCATGGAAACAGCATGTAATTTAAGAGCTTTTTTTATTTGCATTAAAATGTACGCTACTTGACATTTAAATCATGAGAGTGTTTATTTTCCCTGCTGTGTGTCCGTTTGATGCAGGACTTTAATTAAATTAGAGACAGCTCCCATAATGCTTTAGGGGGTGTAAACAGGAAGTATAACGTTGTGGATTCAGCTGTGAGTTATCGTGTGGTCTGCAGCTTAAGTCCAGTTATTTTGGCTTATATTTGTTGCAATTTCGGAAAAATTGGTAGCATTAAAAGTATGCCGAAGTAGCTACAAGCAGCTCCTGTGTCCATTGCACTGGTGTTTGTACAGACAGCTGTCACTGCATTACTTTGATCCTGAAGAAAACTTAAAAACACGAAGATTCTCAGGCGGGTTCTGTAGTTCTGAGGAGCGTTTGTGATTTCTAAGCGGATTTATGGACGTGTATTCGTGATGCATTGGAGATGTTGGTGTCTTCGGAAAGCGTAAGTCACACTGAATCTAAAAATATGTGTGTCATGTATGTGTGTTCAGGTTTAACTAAGTTATTACTCAATAAAGGAGCCTGGTTTTGGACGCAAATTGCGGCCATTGAGGGTTTTAAAGTTCCCTTATTTGCCTCCATGAGCTGTGCGTTTTGATAACATTGACCAAACTGCAATAATTAACCTACTGTTTGGCTTCACCTGTGGCTTTCACCTGCGCTCTCTCCCCACAGTATTACAAACATTGCTGTAATGGAAGAAGTCGTGCTGTAGTTACTCTAGATTTCCTCAGAGGGGCGCCAGAGGTTCATGGAGCATCACATTGTGTCTCTACAGGGCCCTTCATATTCTTTAACACTCAAACTGGAAATAGAAGTGTCATTAAGTGGGAATTGCTAAAGTCTGAAACAAAAGCAGCAGTTTTTTCTAAGTAGTTCTTGACGTTTTTTTGAAGTGTAATGCCATTATATTGTATTCATCAGTGTGCTGTGAGGAAAAGGGGCTCAGATAAGAGCTAATCTTCCCTCTGTGTGTTCCTGTTTGTAGGGATTTGCATGGAGAGGTGAGGCCAGAAGACAAGGCAACTGCATTTCAGGCCGGATTGCTCCCAGGGGCTTTCTCATTATCCCCGGATTAATGGAGGTACAGCCCTTTGAATTTACATGGGAACCTGTGTGATTGATAGTGAAGCCAATCGCCTGAACTTTACTAACACCTTGAACAGTCTGTGGGCATGCTGCTGATGTCTCATCTAAAGTGAATTTTACACTATACCCGAGGGGGAAATGGCTAAAAGAAGCCTCCACTTGCATTCACACAGGGATTTAAGAAATTTGAGGTGTAATATTTTCAAAATTTTAAAGTTAAAGCAACAATTGCTGACCAGAAACCTGAACTTATAGGGTTTGATATGCGAAGAGTGGCCGATACTGTCCTTGTACTCATCAATTTACATAAATAAGAGGACTTCTCAAGTCTCACATAAGAATTTTTGTTAATAATGAAGAAAATGCTTTCTTCTGTGCCAAGCCTTTGTAAACACAAACTCTAAACTAAAATTACTCTCATATCAGAAGTTAAAAAAAAGCTTCAATATGGCTTAATTTTTCCATTTCATACTCAATTTGCTTCCTAAATAAAGTCAAATACACACCAGTGAAACATGTCAGGATTTCGCAAAGAAGCTGAACTTTTATTTAAGCAAAAATATTTCTTCATGATTAGACAAAGGAAACATAATTTACAGGTTGGAGATGGAAAAATACATCTACATTTATTTACAATAACATGTCTTTAGTCTTTGGTCTCAAAACAGATTTTTGTTTTTAAATTTCACTGCAAACTTCAGGAGTTGACGATCAGATCCCTGAGGTTTGAATGTTTAAAGTGCAAAAGGTGTGGACAGTGTCTCTCGATTGAGTCTAAATAGCCGCTCAGACAATTTCATGCGTGGTGTAGCATGACGGAACAAACAGTCCGTTTCTCGAAGCCCACTCAGCCCACAGTTTCCCGGCCGGGTGGTAAATACTGTCCAAAGGTTTCTTCACAGTCTCTGAGGTGGCGGTTTCTGCCAAAGACCAGATTTTGGGTTTCTGGCTGGCAATGTTTTCTTTACTCTCCAAAGCGGATGGCGTGCGATCAGAGTCACTCTTTTCCACTTTCTTGACAAGTGCAAGTTCCCTGTCTTCGTGCTTGCTGCTCGGCTGCACCTCCAAACAACGCGCATCCACAGGTGCCGAGCTGTCCAACGCGCTCTCGACCTGCTCATCCGTGTCTGCGCGCTCAGTTTGAGGTTCTGCCTCATCCCGCTCATCCAAATGGCATTTCTGCAGAGGACCGTCGTCCTCGTCGCTCTCCCCCTCCTGCTCCTCATCTTCCTCATCTGATTTGCCCTTACACGCCCAGCTGACCCTGTTCTCCTTCTTCAGGCGTCGCCTCGCGTTGGCGAACCAGGTGGAGACCTGCGTGAGGCTCATTTTGGTGATGATGGCGAGCATGATTTTCTCACCCTTGGTCGGATACGGGTTCTTCAGGTGCTCGTTCAGCCAGGCCTTCAGCGCCCCGGTGCTCTCTCGGGTGGCCACCTTGGCGACCCTACCGGGGTCCTCGGCTGCTCCCGGGCGGTACGGCGGGTAGAAAGCTCCCCCGCGAGCCAGGAGCGCGTGATGGTAGGGAGAGGCGGCCTTCAAGTCGAAACCGTTGTTCTGGAAAAACAGAAAAAATGGAACTTTAGAGCGAGAAATTACGCATGGAGTCGGCGACCCTTTGACCCAAAACGCACAATTCAATGAGTGATACTGTTATACAAAGAAGTGCAATGAAGGAAAATCCTCCTGAATATATTGACATAAGTGCAGTTTATAGGCATCACTTAATTACAACCCGGTGTGTGAGAACACAGCGTGATGACCATGATCAGATTGTACACACTTTTGTTAAAAGTAGGTTGTAATGATTACCCACAAAGCCTTTAAGTTTTTTTTTTATGTCATGACTGAAATACTTTGTGAATTATCAACTCACCATGTGTGTGATGTGCCTGTGGTGTGGATAGGGGATAAAGTTGTATCCTTGTAGTCCTGAGTACGTTATGGGAACCCCAGCTGCCATCGCTGCCAGATGCTGCGCCTGCTGCTGTTGCGCACCCGGTGGGCATCCCAGCACCGGAATCTGATATCCAGTCGGCATGCTGATGTTCCTCTCAAAGAAGAAGTTGCCAAATCCAGTTTGCGATGCGGGCATCTTTCCTGCGTCCCAGCTATTCGAGTTTGACTGGCAACCCAACCTCCTGGATCTATTTATACACAGTCAGCTGCCAGCGGGTGTGTGCGGGGGGGGGAGGATGGGGGAGGTCCCTCTGGGATTGACTGACAGCTACGTTCAAAAGACCTACAGCTTTCACTGGCAATAAATCCCATCAAAGAAGCCCTCCGCTGTTCCTTTTAGCGTTTTCGTGGAGAGGCTAAATATGTGCTACTTAACGCAACGCACTGATTTCTGGAGAGAGCTGAAGTTTCAATTCAAATGCAACCCTTTTTCTTTAGAGAGGTGAATGAAGATTCACAGAATTAACCATCAGCTCCGTGTAACAACCAAACATCTTATATTCTGCAGAGTCCTTTAGTTTTTATCATTATTCTCAGCACAAAATCTGCATTCTGTCTTTTTACCACTTCACATCTCCTAAAGAGAAGACTTCACATTTTAAAACATTCCATTTCTATGTTTAAATCGTTTTTATGATGTTTTTATTTTGTTTTCACTGCATGTTCTCACACCAGTTTGATGTATTTTTTATGGCGAATCTAACACTTCTCGCGTCTGGCACTAATCGGCGGAGAGCTTAGAAAATGACCTGAATTCAGTTAACAACATCCTGCCAGTCTGCACTGTCGCTTCTGACACTTCATCACCTACAGATCTGTAGTTTTGTGAATTGAATTAACCATCTCAGTCGCATTAAATTACCCTAATAAACAAACATGTATTTTACGCATGCGTAAAAGCCTCGCCAGGAAAGGTTCGTTCTCATTCCCCAAATAAACTTCTTGCAGATCTTTTTAGGAAAATGCATAAAGCATATAACAGTAATCATTCAGCCTCACAAGCCTCAGCTATAGCTTTTTTATTTGTTAATTTATTGACTGAACCATAACAGACTGCCTTTTACATGTCGGATGGCATTGTTTTGGGTGAAGCGCAACGTTTCAATGGCCCTAATTAAACGAGGTTAAGTGAAACAGGTGTTGACTAATGTATATGATAATTGTGAGATAACAGATGCTAATGTGTGTGTGTGTGGAGGGGGGGTTGTTAGAGATAAGAGGAGAAGATTACACTTCTTATTCCACTGTCCCCCTTCAAACGAGCTAAAGTTAAGCTCAGTGTTTGAGTTCAAAGGAGCAACACACCTCGCTTATCTTGCATCATTTTGATTATTATATTAACAGTATTAAGAGGTGTAGTGGTACTTTTAAATGGTGATAGGTAGACACAGCATGTTTAAAACGTGTCTATTTGAAACGTGCTGGGATGAAACCTGAAGAAGATATCACATTTTTGTTTAATTACCCTCTTCTGATTTTAAATTGATGATCCTAATTTAGGTTTCAGTTTCGATCGTTTTTCCTTCTTTTTGTTGCATTTAATTCAAAATCCAAAAAAATGTAGACCCCACATGTCTAAGTTTATACTTTTAAATGCTGTAAGCTCAGGATGCCTCTTTTATTCACTCTATAATTCTCACTCCCTCTGCTTCACTAAGTGTGTTTTCTTAAGTTGCTGGTCTGCCACCATGACTAAAGCTGACACAGTGACACCAGACATGGTTAACTTCAGTAATGTCTGTTTTTAGCTTTTTCTTTGATTTTAAGGCATTTAAAGGACCCTTAATGTTGTTAAAACCTGCATGTACAAGTGAGTGGAGGAATTCATTTGTAATACTTAATCCTCACATTACCCTAATATTTAAACACACACACACACACACACACACATAATATTCACAAATTTAGAATTTTCTAAAGGTAATTTCAGGTGGTTGCCTATTTAATTCTATTTTTTTAAATGATTTGAAACAGTTGAGAAGTAATTGAGCTTGCAAATATAACACTGATTCATGTTTATTAGGAATTTACATTCAGTTGTCATTTTATTAGGTAAAGGCAGTTAAACCAGTGGAAGCTAATACAAAAGTCCTGCAATGAATTCAACCTTAATGGAAGTTATAATGTTTTTAAACTGTTTTAGGGAGGAGTTGACTCGACGTCATTGTCATTTTAAGGACTGTTCGTTGTGGTGCTGTTGACCTCTGTTGTGTTGTATTGTTTGAAATACAAAGACACAAGTTAGCATTAATGCACTTTAATGTACTTAAATGTATATGTGTGTGAGCTGTAGAGCAGTGAATGAGACAGAATAAAAACAATAAAGATAAATCTGTGAATGCAATATCTCCAAGTAGTCATTTATTGATAGGAACTCTGGAGAAATCATTGATCTCACCTTTGATGTTTACAGAAAAAAAGAGTGAAAAAAGAGAAACATAAGAAAAAATGAATGAGCAGTGGTAGAATGTAATTAAGCACATTTATTAAAGTACTGCAGTTAAGTACAATTTTAAGATACATGTGCTTTATTTGAGTATTTTGACAACATTTATTCAACAGCTAAATTTGTAACTAGTTACTAGCTGAAAGTCTGACATAACGTGATCATTGTATAAAATATCAGAGATTAAAATAAAAAATAGTAGTTTAAATGTGCTCAACCTCAACCTGTTTCAACAAAGTCCAAACATATTTATACATGTTCACTTATATTTTTCTATTTGTATAACTTTTGTGTTGTTTTTCTGCGTATTGCACTACACGTCTGCACCCTGTCTTGTAGTTGGATTTTGTATCTTGTTGTTTGCACCAGGACCAGTAAAACCACTACTTGATTCCTCTCTGTACTGCACTGTATTCAGATGGATGACGATAAACTCTCTCTTATCTGATCTTATCTTATGCATTAGTGACGATAATCCAATAATGTAATACATCATAGCGAAGTCACCTCACTGCACAGGCTAATAAGTACTTTTAATTTTAAGTCTTTAATTACATTTAGCTGCTGATACTGTTACAATACTGATCCCTCTTAAAAAAAACAGTGTTGTTTCCTCTCATTTGCAGATTTCTGTTCTCTCTTCAAACAAAACCACTTCAGCCTCTGAGGGGATTGTGCTTAAACTGTTGAAATGGAAAGGCACCAAAAAAACTAAAATGTAGCAGGGGACTTCTTTGAGGTGTTTTGGAGGAAAATGTGTCTCCTAAATGAACGTGTTGTGATTTCTGTTGGTGTTAATGCTATCGTGTATTTTAATTGCGCTCTGTGAGGGATGAGAGTGATTCTGGAGGGAATGCTGCTGCCTAGAACTGAAATGATTAGTCGATTAATTGATTAGTTGATTGACAGAAACTATTTTGAATGGAGTAATTGTTTCTAGCATTGTTTCTGAGAAAGAAAGAAAGTTTGTTGGAGAAAAACAAGACATTTGAAGACGTCATTTGGGGCTCTGCAAAGTTTTCCCACATTTTTCAACCGAACAATTGATCGATCAAACAAATAATCTGCAGATTAATTGATAATGAAAACATTCAGCTGACCTCTCCTGTGTTGTGGTTTTCCCACTTAAGCCCCCTGTTACTGTGTTATCCTAAGAGGTGTTTCTCATACTATGCCATATAATTGCGTGTAGACTAGTGTACAATCATGGACCCAAATGTGCAGAGAGAGAGATACTTAAGAAGTGGTAAAGGTGGAGGGAAAGAAGGAATTTATTTGGGCGGGGTCCACAGAACCTAAAGCAAATTTGAACAAGAGCAACAATGGACCGAGCAGAGTGCAAAGAGAAGGAGGCTTATGGCATCAGTAGTCTACATCTCAAAACACAAACAGCTCAGGGCCGCAGCCTTTGTCCCTCTTGTAGATCGTCTTTTCATTCTCTTCCTCTTTTGGCAGCTCCACCACAATGCAGGTGTTGGTCTTGCGCTGACAGGTCGAGTTTGTGCTGTTTGCCGTTAGGATGTCAGTCGTTTACAAGAGAGAGAAGTGGCCAAATGGAAGACGATTGTCCTCAGCACTGAAAGAGATACAGTACAAGATAGCAAAGAGGATGAAATTATCTTTATCTCTGATAACACCTGAGTCATTCCTCTGTATTGGAACAGTGCCGTATGTCTGCTATCTGCTTTATCTGCAAGTCCTCTGTATATTCCACATTATAACTCACAGACACAGACAATTAAGTTAAGTCAAGTAAGGGCCTGGTTTTTGGGTAAAAAATGCAGAATGACAGTGATGACTAATGAGAAGGTCAGGACAAAAGGTTTAGGTGTGACCTCAATTACAGGCAATCCCCTACCTGCGAGCCAACAAAGGGACTAAACATGTAATTAGAATAGCTCATAGGTAGGTGTGAACAAGACAACAAAAGCCTTAAGAGAATCCACAGTCCTCAACACCTATTGCTTGTTAGTTTATTTTTACTGCACCAGATACTAAAAGGAGAGAAAGCCGACTCATCGAAATTGAGCCAGAGGAGGGGGGAATTGTTATTTTATTTTAAGGATATCATGTGAAAATCTGGAAAGACATTCAAAAAGCTGAAGGAAAAGATGAAAATTGTCTATTTAAAATGTGTTTAGGGTATTTTGACAGAACATTTAAATATATTCACAAATCAAAATCCCAAGAAAGAAAAATTTAAAGTGAAAAATTTAAGATGATTTTATAAAAAAAGCTCAACTGACAAAAAAGATATCATGGTCTTCAACCAGAACTGCAATTTTCCTTCCTAATGAGATTTTCCTGGGGCACCAACACAAATGGAGAGATGTAAGCAAAGTGTGAATGTTATCAAGCTCTCCCACCTCTTTACTATCTGACCCCCTCTCCCCAGACCCCCTTGCACTCTTTGTCCTTTGTCATTACTCTTATCAGGACCACTCTATCATTCTTTCAAAATAGTAGTGGCGCTGAAACCGCTTGCAAATGTAGGTATGTCTTTGTTTAGGGCCGGGCAGTGGCCCGCCTCCCAGCTCCCTCCTGGGTGCAGGCTGATTGACGGCCCTCCGCTGGGTGAGTGACAGGCGGCGTTGGTTGGGCCGTGATGGCCAGTGTGACAGCTGGTGCTGCTGCTGGTGTCTCCCTGTGTCAGGCCCCGGTAGGTGGGTGATGGGCCCCCAGGATCCCTCAGCTAGAGCCCTGGCCCAGTTAGCTGGAGCCCGGTCAGAGCGGCCTCCCCGGTGTGCTCGTTGTTGCAGATCAGCTTGTTAGCTCGCTGCACCCTGTTTCTACATAGTTCCCCTGCATGTATGTAGAGCATGAAAAAGGCAGGATGCCATTTTTCCTTCCCAAGGTGTTGCCATATGGGTTATTTCTGAGTGGTTGACAAAGTTAAATAAACAATCTTTGCATCTATCTTCTTAATACAGTTTCTTTACTGATAACACTTTAAGTTCCCCTATTAAGCAATTCTAAGCAGTATACAAACAATTAATAAATGGTTTACACACTATAAAGTAGTTGTATGCAGCTTTAAGGACAGTAACTGCTCCTATGATCTCTGTTCATACACCAGCCTCCACTTATTGGTGCCCACAGGAGGAGTTATATCTGCTTACAGCTACAGTATAGTGTTTTGTAAACCATTTACCTGTTAAAAAACTGTTTATGAATGCTATGAATTGCATTATCATAGCGCTGCACACAGGTTTTCCTCCTCAGTTGCACAGAGATGCTGTTTCTCTTTGCCTAAAACGTTACTGTGAGGGTTATTTCACTCAATACACTCGACTCACGATTTTAAACAGCTAGAAAGACAAATTATGATTTGAATCCTTCTTTATTTCTGGCGTAGAGTATAAACTGTGCCAAACAATGTATATTTCCTTTTGTGAAGTGAAACTGAAGTCATTGTGGCTTGATAACCTTGATTGATTAGTTTTTCCTTCATTGATTTGAATCCTCACATGCTGTCTCGCAGTATATCGTTACATTCCTAGTTATTTCGATATATCTAAAATTCTCTGCCTCATTAACAGTGTTATTATTCCAGGGAAACAAAAGGTTTTACGAGTAGTGTTAACTAAATTTTACGCACACTCTTCATACAGTTGACCAAACTGAAGTTCATGCATTTATCATTTTCTCTCTATAGCCTCACAGTGAGCAGCTAATGAGGTTATTGGGCATCTGTGACGTGACATCTACATTTTGGCCTATTTGTGAAACAATGGTAACAAGGAAGCCAGGGACATTGGGCTCTGTGTTTTCCAACTCAAAATAACAAAGCCAAGCAGCCGCTGGTGGGAGGCTGTGCTCTCATGGAAATGAGCAACTGAACCAACAATGTAGCGCCTAATCTCTTCAGAAAGAGGAATCAGTTACACAGCAGTATGCACCCCTCAATGCTTTTCATTAGAGTCAGCGTGCTATTGAAACAGTCACTCCACCCCCCTGACTCACACACAAACACGCACATACATGCACACACACACTCACAGCCCTCGTGTGTAGCCACAGGCCCTACTCATACATGCACTAGATACAAGGTAGCCCCCCAACAACAGAAGGGTTGAAATAAGTGGGGCAGAGGGTGGTATGGGGGTGCAAGGCCTCAAAGCATCGGATTAGAGTTAATGTGCCCTCCCTGGGTTATAATCTCTTCAGAGGGGGACTTTGTTTGAGGGGCTTGAGGGCAGTAAGATAAGTATCTATTACAGAAACTCCCTCTTATCCCCCCAACATCCTCGCTTCAAAAATGAAGCACAAAAACACTTGCCTCTGTTCCCCTCTGTGTCGTCTGATATCCAAGACCCAAAAGCAAGTGCTGCCCTTTTCAGCTAATCAGGAATTAAGGTCTAAAGCCGTATGGAGAGTTAGCAGGACCCATATTTACTCCATCTGTAGCCCACAAAGTCAGGTAGTTAAAGTAAGATCAAAGGCAGCTTTAAAAACCAGGGTTATTGTATTGAGAGAAAGGAGAAAAAAAGCACTATCACAAGTTGTTCTTCTCTGCTTCATAGGGAGAGACTGGACTGAGTGACTCGGCTGCTCACACACAGATTGGAGTTTGATGTAGATTATTCCTGTGTACCAGTGAAGTAGAAACACAATGACTTACTACTTTGTTCAAAGTGAACAATGAAGGTGCAAAAAAACGCAGGTATACAGTTTGATATAAAATACCATTTAATACCAAAATATCTTCATTATATAAATATTGTGCAAAAGATGTAACAGAGGCAAGTTTTTTAGTTTAGATTATACGATTAACTGGGAAAAAAAACATAACTGTAGCTTTTACATTGGCACAGAATTATAAACAAATAGTTACAATGATCCTCTTTTCAAACACATGACAATTATGCCTAAAGCAACACAAAAGCCCTTTTAAACGAAAGACACTGATTCATGATGTAATAGTGCAAATTCCTTTTGTGAAAGTTAACACAGGACTTTAATACACGGGGGGGTCGAACGGGGAATTAAAGCACAATCACCACTTTGACATTAGAGTTTTCGAAGAAAAGTTAAATCCAGTAACAAGGCTGCAAAAAGGAGAGATCCACAATTCAGGAAAAAACTAAATAAACTCAGATTTAAACTTAAAAATCAATAACATTTTCTTCCTCATTGAGGACTGTAGGAAAATTATTAAGGAGCGAGGCCAGTCAGAAAAAGGGGGAGGGTTATGTATATTTTTTCTTATTGCTTATATCTGACTTTTTGGGGAAATCTTTAGATTTTCCCTCACCATAGATTTGTATTTATTTTCAATTTCCCCTTGCATAATAATTGTAAACATAAAAAAGGGGATCAAATCCAAAAATACTGAAAATTATTATTCCATCAACATATTAAGTATGTAACATTTAGGCCGTTTTGCAACTTTCATGCGGCCACCATAGTTTCTCTATCGCCCTTGGAAGGGGAGGGTGCAGCGAGGGAGTTGCAATCTGCTAGATGCCACTAAATCCTAACTAAGCCCTTAAAATGTAAAGATTAGTGTACACCATCTTAAATTCTTAATTCTTTGCTTTGTTAGTTATTAATGGAGTTGAACCAATACTTTTATATTATTTGAAGATATTGGGGGGAGGGTACCCAAATAAAACATTAAAAATGCTGTGGAGAGGTCTTGCTTCTTAAAAAGTGAAACATGAAGTTGGACCTTCTCCCTACCCCAATAATTTTCATACAGTCCTTTAGCTGACAGTGTTTATTGTGATTTTAAAAATAATTCAATAAGAAATTAACAGAATTGATCACCTGTAGTGTCTCTGCAAATTGATTATAATGCCACAGTGACATGAATCCAAATTAATGGCTTTGTGAAAGCTCGTGTTTCAGCCTAGTGTTAACTACAGATGATTTCAATAGGCCAAAACATAAAAACCACCAGTCTGGCTATTTTCAGTCTTCTTCTTATTGTCAACAAATTCCAAGAAAACCAACGGTCTCTTACTAATGAGTAATGTGTGTGTGTCTAAAGCCTGATAAATGTTCTCTGTGCCACAACACACACAGAATGAACCACACTGTTTCACTGGGTGAAACTGGGCAGAAATACTCAATAGAGCACCACATCCCCAAACACAAATGCACTATTTACTCTTGTTTGAGTAATGTTTGCTAAAAACTACAATGCCCAGCTGTTTTAGTAAAGTAGCTTTTTTTTTTTTTAAGTGAAAGTATGTATTTGTGACCAACTGTGAAGGCTTTACTGGGAGGGGCTGGGAGCCACAGACAGGGTAGGAAAGTCATCAAGTTATCAACAAATAGATTGACACATTGTGTTTCTTTAGCTGTTTTTTCATTGGATTTGTTGACAGTAACAAAACTATCTCCAGCCTTATCCTAAACTTCTCACTGAGAAAGAATTACATCATCTGGACACTTTTACAGAGTAAACTCACTGTAACACAAATGAAGACTATGTGGCACGGCTCATTTAAAATTGTAAGGCATATGTAACAGTTAGCAATAGAGCCCCACCGATACCGATTTTAGAAGGGAAAAATTCCCTGATTGCCAATATGGCGGCCGATATAGTGAATGTTTGAGCCGACAAAAGACCTATTCTATGAGAATATGCCTTTACAAAGGTACTCAGCAGGCTGTTTTCTTAAACAAATAACTTTTCTTTAGCATGTTAAATAATTTAACATTCACATTGTCAACCAATTCTAGTTGACATTGCTGAGAGCTGCCTCTTCTCTCTTTTACTCTGCTGCTTGCATTGTAAATCACAGCGCCAAAATATTAATGCAAGCATTGTCTTCTGCATTATATGCTGGAAAAAAAAACAGTTTTCATGTCTGCGCATATTGGATATCATATACACTAATACCGACATGTCCACGATAGGTCAGTATCGATATATATCGGTGAGGCTCTAATTAGCAACATTCATTAAAGTTTAAAGGCTTCAAGAATACTTTCATGGTGAGCATTAATATTAATAATACACGTATAAGCATGGCATCATCTACAACATTGTCTATTCAATGTTAAAGCATGAGTTTAGGTGCTTCAGTAAGCAAAGGTTTGTCAACATGTGCTGTACATAATAAATATAACACTTTCTTTGTATATACATGTAGGTTTACATAGTGTGTGTAGATATATATGAATCTAAGGATTAGGCTGTGTGTGAGTGCAGGAGAGCTAGCAGAAATCGTCCCTGATGTCTCGTTTTTACTCAGCGGGAGAATTTCCTGGGTCTAAATGCTGGAAGGACGAGCTGATGTGTCGCCGTCCTCTCCTCCTCTATCGGAGCCAGCTCCTCTGCTGAGCCCCACTTCTTCTTGGAGTGAAACAACGACACCAACTTTCTGTTCCTGTTCCGCTCTCTGGCCTGACTGACTTGAAACGCTGGAATCACAAGAAACAAAAATGTACTGATTTGGGAAAATTTGTGAGTTACCTTACGATTCTATCAGAGTAGTTTTGAGATATTCGTTTTTAAGGTTTTCAGAACTGAAATGCAAGGATGTTCTTTTTAATTTTTCCAAAGTGCACGCCTAGAGTAAAGAATATCAAATCAATATTTTAAGTGTCCGAGATAAAACTTTCAGACACAATAAAAAACAATTTGAATAGTTTGATATTGTGCTGAAATAAACTTATTTGCTTTCATACCAGGAGTTAGAATTTATACCACTCACATATAAGTTAGTTAACAGTTAGCTTAGCATAAAGACTGCCTGGGTGCAGTAGTTTGGCACATAAAACTGCAAACTGTTGTTTTTAAACTTTTCCAGGAGATACAATGTATTAATTTGTGAGCTTTAAAGGTGCTAACAAAAAATGTAGTTATCTTTGGACAGAGCCAGGCCACCTGCTTCCAGTCTTTATGCTA